ATCGCAGCCGCGCAATCTGGCTTCGACAACCAGCTCGTGCACAAGCTTGCCCGTACCACACCGAGCGTCGATCCCGCCTTAATCACTGCTACCGGTGCCACAACCCTGCGCCAGGTATTTTCCGGAGCCGAGCTGGACGGTGTTCTCCGTGCGTATGCATGGGGTATCAAGGTTGCTTTCGCAATTACTATCGCGGCCTGTGGCATCACTGCCACTACCAGCTTGTGCACCAAGTGGACCAATGTCAACGCGAAGAAACCCAGTGCTTGAAAGAGCTGTCCGGACGATTATGCCAACGGAGTTTTTGCCGTTTTCTCGTCATGGAAATTATCCACTTTGTACTTGGGCCACCCCAGAATTTTTAGCCCACCCACTTTTTCGCCAATGATAGACTTATGTTTCTGTCTCATTCGGAAGGAAGTTAATCTCTACAAGCAGTGATTGACATCCGCTTAGCACCGATTGGTTTTCGAGTTCACCTTTCCTTTTTCAGGGGGCTGGGAGGAAGAAATCGGATGGTATTCAAGGCTGGCCACCTAATGTATATAGAAGTAGGCCTATTGAGTGGATCAATCTTGTCATGTTCCACGAAAATCATAATCCAAGCCAAATATTCTTTAGGAGAGATTGTTGCCAATCTGCAGGTGAAATGACAAGATAAAACCGTCGAGTTTGGTGTAAGGTATTTTGGGCTTGCGTACAAGTCACCAATCTTGGTAGCCAGCAACAGTTGCATGTTCACACCTTGCGCAGTAGAGACATTGATAGCATTTTATAGGCTCTTGGAGAAAAAATGGTATTGTTGAACGGTCTCGCCTCGACGAACTGCGGTACACTATCAATTCATCACTTGCCCCCCCTTGCGCAACATAGGCGACACAAACACTTCATTGCCAGTCCAGGTAGCCCCAACACAAGGCGGCACGCCCAAAGCTTTAGCCTTCCGCATCTACTCAGTTGTTAGTAGGACGTCGATCTTGGTGCCGAGCTTCTCCTTGTACATACCCACGAGGTCCGACAGCAAGTATCGGTATTCGCTGCAGTAATTGTGCACGGAAAACGGTTTGCGGGGATCGTGACCCTACGCCGTAGCCAGAAACTCGGGCTCCACGTCACCGACGTCGATGACGTCAAGCTGTCCGACCCACTGCTTGGGGTCTAGCGCCGGTACGGTACGGCCCGCATCTTAGCGCAGTATTATCTCGCGCCACCAAGTCAATATCTTCCGGCGCATCGGGTCCCATGATGTTGGGGAAGCCGTGCACAACGGCCGGAACGCCGTCCGCTCACTCCAGCAATATCTTGCCTATTCATTTACTGGCAGCATAACCTATAGCGTTTTTCATCAGCGACTCGGCATCAGCTGGCGGCCAGAAGCAGGACGGCGGCACCTGAGCTAGCTCGACAGTATCCCTTTAGAGCATGGCCACTGATAACAACGAGACAAAGTGTACAGGGACGCGGCGTGACGTGGCCATGGCGAGCAGCGTCGAGACAACATTAGCGGTCCACATCTGTTCATACGACTTTAGATGGGCGACATCGGCCCCCACTTGGATGATCAAGTCGGCCGTCTGGCTGAGGCGTTTGAAGTCATTAGTGGAGAGCCCTAGCAGCGGCTTGACCAGGCCGCCCTTGTATTCATGAATCTTTGCGTCCTTGACGCGCAGAAGACGTGAGCGAATACAAAGACAGTGCACCTCTGCAATGTCGCCATCTGTGACGGAGTTGCGTAGCATGTGCATGCCAAAAAAACCCGTGCATCCCGTGAGGAAGACACGGCGTGTGTTGCATATAGAGGTTGCGTGATCATGCAGCTATGGTAGAAGCTGATGAAGTGAAGTAAACTGTGTTGTCTAAGTGCTCTGCTGCAGAGTTTTATTTACATATATGACGGCATGGGCAGTAAGGGCCATGTAAATAGCAGTAGGGGCCATAGTAAAGGCAGTAGGAGCTGTTGTGGCTTAGGGATGGCATAGTTCATGATGCACGGTACCTTACAGACAGAGAGTTATGTGGTAAAGGCCCAGCGCTGGTGCTAGTTGCACTCATTTTCTGGTCCGCAATTCTGTAATCAATGGACACGTATAGGCATTAAATCTCTTATTTGGACGTTACCACTCGTCGCGGTGGTCACCCAGCAACTCTAACCGTTCAACCAGCGCCAGACTCTAGTGTTGACACAGTCTTTTCGTCAACTCCCTCTATTGACTACAATCCATCCGAAATACATAAATGGGCGAGATATGGAGTTCCAGCTGTTCAGGGCGTGGTGGGATCCCCAAGTATTCCAGTTGTTTATAAGGGGCCTTATATCGCATTTTAAGATTGATCTCATTAGTGGCATCTCAAGGCTTGATTTTACACAAAATTACACCTGACCCCAACTGTTTGTATACTGTTGAGTTCTATGGGCCGTCTATATCGCATGGACCTTTGAGCACTAGTAGCTCTTCTTTCCAGAACAACATTAAGAATGTCCTCTAAACTCCTAATGGTATTTTTTTTTCTGAACCTTGCGGACATGATTCAATATCTGCATGGATCCCTTAAAATGACTGGGACAATACATCGTTAGTATCTGCGGCTTTGCAGGGTCTCAGAACCACCATATCACAAGATTCCGGTTCCGAGTCAGAAACAGCTTCCTGTCGCACGTGTCTCACGCAATACCCATGTACTGCACTATTCACTCATTAGAACTAGCTCCTTTCTCGTACAGTATATAGTCAGCCCAGAGCTCTCTCTCGCTCCTTAGACTTTACAATACACTGGTTCAATTCACCTTGTTTGGATCTCAATACCTTGTCGACTGGCCTACCCTATGACCCCTTCTCAACTCATGCGAGACTTACCTTGACTGAGTTGGTAAAGACTACGCAGGACTTTACATGTATCTTGTTGCAAATGGAGAGGTAGTGTAAGCATGCAGTTATGAAAGAAGCTGATGAAGTGAAGTGAAGTGTATTGTGTTGTGTTGTAAGTGTCTAAGTGCTCTGTTGCAGAGTATTTATTTACATCTATGATCGCAGGGCAGTGAGGGCCATGGCAATAGCTAAGGGGCCATAGTGAAGGTAGCAGGAGCTATAGTAACAGCAGTAGGGGCTGTTGAGGCACGGGGAAGGAAGGTTTCTGTATCAGGAATGCGACATATCTCGTTTACAGATCCCGAGAAAACAAAGACGTTTTCGAAATTAATGAATGCGGGCTCTGCAACACTTCTTATCCCGTCAACTTCACTTTCAGCAATGGGTAACAGTGAATTATGACCACGAACAAAACGCGACTCAACAGCGTCAATAGCACCGCTTGAACTCGAAGTGAGCCTACGCCGGGGGCACCCTACGTAGCCTTCATGAATGCTTTTGGTAGAATATTAGCTGGATACATGCAAACTTCGCACTATCAAGACTACCTAGGCGTGGCTACACACAGATAAATACAGTTACTATGTCTAAACAATTGTGACGAACGAAATTGACACTCTATAGAAGGATCGAAGGAAGTAAGAAAAGGGCTGTTTTGGCTATTCATAGCGAGCTAAAGAGTGTGGATGAAGATATGATTGAGTTGATGAATACGGACCAACCCTAATAATTCTAGTAATATATCTAAAATACAACTGGACGTTAAGGTATATCTATTTATAAAATCATCTTATATTAATCTGCCAAAATGAAGCAGCTATCAAATGCTGCGACGATAGGTATCGAGCGAATATTGATCTAGTCCGCGATGGATATCAGGTTGAAGAGATTTTAGGCATCGACTCAATACCAGAATCCATTGAAAAGGAGAGGGAAGAGGGAAGCTTAACTCTACAGGGGCCCAATGGAAAGTAATAGATGACGAGAATGGTGACTTTGCATTGCGATCACCACATCCAGCCCGCGCTCGCCGACCTAAAGGACCATAGATTCTGTGGTTTAGAATGCACAATCTTTACTTTGATTTACGATACTGCTTGTCTTTGTGATGACGTATATGGTCTGCTTCTATTTTTATATATATTTTTCTTATAGAGAGTGAAATACACGTTAGTAAGCCTATCTTGTAGCACAGCAAGATGGGCGCGAGTTGGGTTCACAAGCGATGACTAGAACTTGAATGACAAAAATGAAATGTCAGGCATCGTGAGTCGTCTTTGCGTTAAAATATGCCTGTAAAGAAAACGGTTACAGCATTTTTTGTATTCTATAATTGTAACCTTAAAAGCTCTGAGTAGAGCATGAAGACAGCGGAATAGCTAAGTACATCTAGGAGATATCAATTGAAGCGTGTACCTATCGGTACCACCATGTAACCAGACGTGATTTCTGATCATACGTGAAGCGTGATAGTGTGTAGAAAGAAGAGGTTGCCCACTAGAATAGTGTCGTCGGCCCTGGATGGCCCTCTAAGGGTAAGGCAAGATGAGCACCAATGACAAAGCCCCATATCAGAGCGTGTAGTAGAGCACTCCTCGAGTATTTTAGCAGTCCATAGATTGCTAAACTAGGCCTCGGAACTGCCCGTCGCAAGAAAAGAAGAGAGGAGCAGACAGAAACGCCGTACGAGCGGAGTCTTGGAATTAGCTAGGGCGCTGTGAAATTTATATAAGTTCATTTTGATCGCGCAGTAAATTTCTCGGTAAACATGACTAGAGGCATGAAGGGTGGAAGGGTAGAGAAAACATCGAGATCTATGCGTGGCTCAAGGGCTTAGCGCGGATGTGTCAGCAAGTCGTGCCTCGCAAGGTCAGTCAGGCCATTGTTGTCACCATCATCATCATTATCTCCTATGTCTTTTATGTTTTCCTTTGCATCATGTTGGACACCTCGAGGCCAACACGGGGCGGGTCACGTGGCAGCCCAGCCACCAGGCATGGCTAATTAACGCACGATAAAACGCACCGTGTGACGGTGTTCTGGGCATATGGCGGAGCGCATCAAGCCCCCAACCCGGCGTCAAGAGCCTCATTTCGCCTTCAGCTGTCTGCCTGCGGGCCCAGCATTTCTTGCCAACACGGCCTACGTGTATATGAGATGGACTCCTGCGATGTGCTATCTTCCACTGCACCAGCTCTTTACCTATCGGACCGATCATTAGGCCCTACTCCTAACCATTCGTGCGTTCGCCCCCCCTCGTTTCCTAGTGTCAAGGTCCAGATCCAGGCCCCGCACTCGACGACGGTAGGCAAGGCTAACGGCTGCACACAATCTCTAGAATGAGTGATGACGAACCGGCCGGGTTCCCCGTACCACGCCTCCTTCGAGACGCTCCGTGACTCCATCTACCAAAGCCTCCTCCCCTTTGTCAAGCTCGACACTGAGCCCGACAAGCGCTTCTTCCCTGTCGATACCGCCGAGAAGGTCCTGCAGCCGGACAAATTAGAGGACCTGTTCAAATTCGTGGTCCCCGAGGGACGGGCTGGGGTAGACCTCGTTCGAGCTGTCAAGGAACGAAAGCTGCACACGTTTCTCGCAATTCTTCTCTACTCTCAGTGTAGGCTGGAAGCATGGGTCCGAATCACCGACGTCTTAATCGCAGCACCCACATGGCCTGTCGAGGGCAACAGCGGGCAGAACCTGGCCGAGCTGCCTCTACAACCCGGAACATCCCGGGAGCTATTTGGAGAGAATCGCGTTGCGGCCGATCTATTCTGCAACAATCAAGAATATTTCTGCGCCGTTGTGCTTCGGAAAAAAGAAGAAGTCGTATGCCAAGGCCACCGTCGAGTACCATACCTGGAAGAGGTAGAGATAGGGAGTGGCGTCTATGGCAAAGTATACCGAGTACTGGTCGCCCGCCATCATTTCTATGATGCAAGACAGCAAATGTCCAACCCCCATAAGAAACAGCTGGCCCGGAAGGATTTTGTGCTGGATCTCCAGGACAATGCCTATGTCCGGGAGCGAGATGTGCTGCGAGAAATCGTTCGAAACGTTAAGCAGAACAGAAATATCGTGGAGAACATGGGCAGCCTGGAGATTGGTTCAACCTACTCACTCTTCATGCCCTTGGCCAACGACGATCTTGAGACATACATGGAGAAAGCACAGCCGCCAACGGAATGGAAACAAAAGGCCAAGGTTGTTGGTTGCGCCGCTGGCATTGCTGATGCGATCGCCTACCTCCACAGCGAATTAGTATCGGACACGTTCGAAACCTTGTCGTGTTTCCACATGGACCTGAAGCCAAAAAACATCCTCATCTTCATCGATCCAACAACAGGCGAAGAGGAATGGAAGCTGTCCGACTTCAACATGTCGCGCGTAAGAGCAACACGTCGACCCACACACGACTTTGCTACATTACAGCGCGGCTGGACGTTTAACACAGACAATGTTCTCGATTTCAACAAGCTATTCAGGCGCCGAGCTCTAGATGTCAGCGACCGATCAAATTCCGGCTCGAGCGTTGGTACCTCCAGAACAGGAACCTATCTAGCCCCGGAAACCCGTATCGACGGGCATCCTATTTTGGCCGAAAGTGATATCTGGTCATTGGGCTGCGTTATAATAGTCGTCTTCTCGTTCCTATATGGCGGTGTCGCGGCTGTGAAGAAGTTCGACAGTATGAGATCTGTACAACCGATCGACGCGTTCTACACCGTACCCCGCGGACGTCCGTTCCACAAAATTAATGACATCAAAATCAGCGAAGAAGTGGAAAGATGGCTGAAAGAACTGCGTTCCCAGACATGGCTGAAGGACGAAGATGAGGGCTCAATTTTTAAGGAAATGATTGCTTTTCTTCAGAGCAAGGTTCTCATCATTGATCCCTTACAACGCAGGAAGACAACAGCGTTAGAAGTCAAGGAACAGCTGATCACTTCGTTCAAGGCATATAACAATTTGAATACAGGGTTTGTCTCGCCTAAGAATTCACGCTTCCGTACCAAGTTCATCAGGTCTTCTCTCTTTCCAAAGCGAACCCGAACTGAATCTGAAATTCATTCTCGAAACTGGGAGATCGGGTTGCCCGACGCAGTCAAATCATGCGAGTTTGGACCCAATGCGCAACCCCTCGTATGTGTCTCAGAGACCACCCTCCGGGCGTACTCGCTCGAACATGTTTGCCGTACGAAGGAGTTTGACAATCTCATCAAGTTTGGTAGCGTTAATCTGAACAAGAAGAATAAACGCTGGACCGGTAATATCGGAGTGTCCTCGCAATACATTGTAGCTGCGACAAATAGTCATAAGTTTGAAGTGAGCTCTCATTCTTAACGATAAGATTCGCGGCGTACTGATGAGCGAAGGTTTACGTTTACTACATCTCTGATGGTGCATCGCATACCACAGAGCTGAGCGAAGTCGCTCACGTCATGCTTGAGATGCCTCCGATCGTGAAACTAGCCCTGTCACCAGACGACCGTTATGTTGCGTTTCTTTTGCAAGAGCCAAACAGCGCGCATGGGTCGCTTTATATTTTCCGGATGGACCAACTGAGACTCTTGGATGCAGATAGGTGAGTCTTTGCGTCGCAAGTAGCCTTGCATTACGTAGGCTGAGTATAAAGCTGATTCAATGTAGGTCCTCGTCTGTAACGTCGTCGTCCTCTAGCTCAAGCTCCTTTTCGGGTGCTGCGCTTGGTCGCCAAGCTAGACCGCTATCTACAGTTGCGCCTGCGGAAGACGTCCGTGAACTGAGGTTCTCGGTGTCGAACACCATGTATGCCGTAGTAAAACCCAAGCGAAACAACACTGCCGCCGAATATTTCATGACGATCCGGGCCTGGTACATGGAAAATGGGATTTGGAAAGCGCATAGACGGACTGAAATAGAACACGATGTGAGTTCCATTTTTCTTACCCTTCACGGACTCTCCGCTTATCAGTTATCAGGGCCGAGACGATCTTCTCCAAGGGCTATACACGTCTTTCACCCCACACAACTCTAATAATGTGTTCACAGTTTTGTCCCAAGAGAAAAGAGTGTTGACGAGAAAAGCCTGGGAGGAAGGCTCCACCAGTATCACCCAAAGCAAGGCCAAAGGCCATCGGCTTCTCAAGGTACTGTCGAGCCTCGATGATGAAACTATCTACTGCTTCGGCACGAATGAGGCGAAGAATGACCTTCGATTGCTGAGCTTCCCGCCTTGCCCTCCTAGAGAAGAATTTACGATACCCAAGGGTGCAAAACTGCCTGGCATGACTCATCAGAGCAAGTTCGCTGCGTCGCTGTACTATCCCTCAGATGCACAAGCAGCACCCCGGGCTTTGGTTGCAGATATCAATGGTCGCACGATTCGAATTTTAGAAGTTCCGCTCAATCCTGATTGAAATGAAACATCTGTCTAAGACCACTTTTTACCATCTCCACCACTCTTCTCTGGATCAGTAAAGCCCCGTTGCAAACCCTGTCTCAGGCCAATCCCACCATCGCCACCACTCTGTCGCCCCTTCCGCAGCTGCGGAAATCCGGATATCACATAATACAGCAGCATCGTGCAGGCAGTGAGTACCACGGCCGACACAAAATACACCCATAATTTCGGCGACGTCACGAACCTGTACGTATTTTGGTCCATCATGAAGAAGTTCATCCCAAACAAGCCAGTCATAAATGTCCAAGGAAGATAGAAGAGGGTGAGGACTGTGAGAAAGACGGCAGAGCGCGTCAGAAGAAGCATGTTTCCATTCTGCTCTTGGGCGACCCCTTGATTTTTGAAAGCGACAGTGTCGGAGACCAGAGTCGCGGTGTTGTTGCTACGTTGTTGGAGGAATTTAGCTGTGCGAATGAATGTCAACGCGTGTCTGCGATATTTACTAACCAAGATGGCGAAAAGTCGGACCTCATTCGCATGGATGCAATTGTGTGCAAGAAGCTTTTCTGAAAACGAGCCAAGCTCAGACAGGGTGTCTAAAAAGCTCTGGAGAATTGCTGGAGTAGGCATGAAGTGGCTTTCCAAAGAGCGTAACTTGCTGAGTGTCTCATGGTTGACTCGCAGCGGCTCCGCGATGAACGCTGCTGCTGTGGTGTCGGCCAGTGGCAGCAATCTCTTTTCATATGCCGCCAGATATTCACGCCAGCGCGGGAAATAAGATGCCAGTACCACGCAGTGCAACCACAGTGGGTTTTGCTCCATTTCTTTCTGGTAGTTAAGGAAAGCATCGACTACCCGGCGATGTGCTGCAGAGTCTGGCACTGGGTTTACGAGGATCCACAGGCAGGTCTTTTCCTTGAGGTGGAATTTTTGATAGACACCGGTTTGCCGGATGACATAGGGCTCATTGGGATGTCCCTTGTACTCAGCATAGCGAAAGGTGTAAAACATCTCGAAATAATCTCCACCTTCTCTTAATGTCCATGGAACGCAGAAGGATTGCTCTTCATCTGTCGAGCGATCGAAAAATGATAATGGCACCTCAAGGAAGTCAGGAGCTATCTCATGGTGCTGTACTATTCTCCTGAGCATCGGCCTTGTTATTTGCAGTTTTGACCAAGAGTTCTCTTGGCACATGGATCTGTAGGCTATGGTTAAACCTTCTGAGCAGACAATTAACGCCCAAATTGGGAACGAACATTAATCGATACTTCCAGACTCCCTTATTCGGACCGGCCAAAAATTCGCCTAGAGTCTTCAAGGCTGAGAACTGCTGCGGCGCCTGCGGCTGCATATGACCGTGGGCAGATGGCGACTGAGGGTGGGCCGGCACATCGAGGATATGGATGGGCAGCAAGTCCGCAGACTCATCCTCGAAACATGAGTTTGCTGCATCGAAGCGCGTCCAGTATAGGTCTGAGTTGATGGCTAGCGCCATGCCGGCCACCGAGTCCATGATGGGTGAGCTAGAGCGCGATGCAATAAGATTCAGCGCCGAGACGAGTAGAGAGGGATCTGAGAGTCGGGAAGCACAATAAGCGAAAGGAAATGCGCGATAGCCTGAAAAGAGGGCGCTGGGCTGCAGTAACACTACAAGGAGAAAAGAAAGCTTTATTCTTGCTCTAGAACAGACAGAAGAAATCTACAGGTAACATGATACAGTTCGTGGAGGCTGAACAGCTGAATGCGCACGCGCTTAGGCTGTTTCCACCTTGTCGGACTCCCCGCTAAGTGCCGTCGCACCACCCCTCTCTCCCACCTCCCCCTGATGCTCTGCCTCCACAGCCTAATGCAGCTATCCTTTCGCTCGTCTGTGGATACAGAGTCAGCCTATTATGTCGAAGGAACAGGAATTAGGAGCTGATGCACTTTAGTTCTTCCTTTGCGATGTCAGGTCAGAGATTACTAGTTGTGGGCGTGGAGGGGGAAGGACACTTACATCTGTCACCTCTCGCGGTACGTCGAAAATCCATTGATCGTTCTGCATCTAGCTTACCATCAATACGCGTTCTAGTATAGAAGACAGAAGAATGACGTACCCGGACTCTGAAATTCCCTTTCCCAAACAAGTCCTCCATAAGCTGAACCAGCTTGGTCTCAGAAAAATATCTGGACCGCACATTCTGGGTTATCAATTCTTCCTGATGCTCCTCTTTTTTGCTGTGACGGAAGATCTACGGTCGCTGTTAGCCATGCGGGCTATGGGGGCGGGAGAGCGGGCTGTACCTTTCTCAAGGCGTCTCGCAGTGTCATGACCGGTGGAATTCCATCCACCAACACATCAAAACGCAAATGTCCAAGATGTATGGGCCGTCCACCACGGGCGCAAATTATAATAGAATTCCGCCTACCGGATCTGATGTCGAGTGAGGCGCCGAGGGTGACCACTGGGGGTGGTCTCGTGTCGAGAAGGGCTGCGCCACGAGTGGCTGAGGCGCACAATATCCCCATCTGCAGGATTTGGGTATTGCGCAATCATAGGGATTGGCTCTGATGGGATGACGGCGTGTCTTGTGCGAGGAGATGGCAAGCCACACTAGGCATCGATTTATTGGCATGGGGGCTGCAGAGCCGCATTTAGCTTATGAGAGGGAGAGAGGCCGCCCCGGCAGCGCGCGAAGAGCTGGCAAGGTATCCTGTGCACGTCGCAACCCTACTGTACTGAGGCCTCTGTCTCGTGCCACGGACACCAGTCAGAGGGTTTGGATGTCGCGTGCCATCTGAAGCCCATGACAGACAGGACCGGAGGCTCATCGCTGGAGCCTGGTTGGATCCCAGACTGGTGGAGAGGAACATCATCCACATCGCAAGGCGCCACTCGACCATCGCCGCATCCCGAGCAGCGGGCTCCATCTGCGTCAATAGACAGAGAGAACCGCTTGTCGCCTCCTTCGTTCGAGAGCGAGTCCTACCTAGATGCCGGGGGGAGTCGGAGCGCGAGTCAAAGACATGAGCGTCGGGAGTCACTAGAGCGGGGTGGAGAACGTCTACGCACGCAGAGTCGAAGTCCAGGACCGGCTTCGACTGGAAACGACATCGCGCTCTCCAATTTGAGCCATGATGCTGATAAGAGTGGTGTTGAAGAGATAGGCGAGGAAGAACCGCCGGCGGATAGGCTGATGCTTGAGCGGGATAGAGATCGGGCTGTAAAGTATGCTTCCCCATTCTATTATTCATCATATCGAGGATACTGACGGTGGTAGTCGTCGCCTTCGAGGCATCCACATATTCATGATCACAATTAGCGGTGTCCTCGGTGTTGGCCTTTATGTACGCGGTGGCCTGATCCTCAGACTGGGCGGGCCAGTCGCAGTTTTGCTCTCCTTCGCCCTGCTAGGCCTCCTGGCCTGGGGCGTTATGCAGTGTACTGCGGAGCTGCTGTGCATTTGGCCTATCTCTGGCGCATTGAGTACGTATGTGTCGGAGTTTGTGGATGTCGAGTTGGGAATTGCGGTTGGAGTCGCATATTGGTTCACGTACGCCATTGCATTTGCAGCCCTTGTTGCCGCCACGGCTGGTGAAGCCGAGTATTGGGAGACGCCTAAAGGTATTCAGGGAGGGATTCTATTCTTCCTTGTCCCGCTGTTTCTGCTCATACTGAATGCATTTGGTATCGAGGTATGCTTCCCTTTCCACTCGTTTGTACAAGCTTATACTGACCAGTTGAGTAGACGTACGGCTTATTTGAGGTCGTCAGCGGCTTTCTCAAGCTCTCCTTCCTCTTAGTCATCATTGTCGTCAACGTCGTCATCAACCAGGGCGGCGGTCCAGGCCCTAAGATAGGCAGCTCACTCTATCCCGAGAAAGTCATTGTCCGCGACACAGATGCTACACAGAACTGGGCGCAGGCCTTCTTCATGAGCCTTTCTATAGCCGCATTCGCATATGTCGGTGTTGAAATTACCGCTGCTTCGGCGCTAGAGGCTCGGGTGCCGCCAGTAAGGAATCCGACGAATCCCAGCGCGATCGGAAAGACGGTCAAGTTCTCGGCCGTCTTCATATCGTTTGTTGCAGCGCTATTGTATGTCATTGCTGGTGTTCTGGTCACACTCAACATCGCCTGGGACGACCCAAATCTTCCCCGCGTAAGTTGGCGCGCAAACGCCATGGACACAGTGAGCGCGCACGGCTCCACGGCCTCCGCATTCGTCCTCGTGGCGAAGTATTCTGGCATAAAAGGCCTCGCCGGCACACTAAACGTCTTCCTCATGTTCACAGCGCTCACATGTGCAAACACGAACCTATACGTCGCCTCCCGGACACTCTTCAGTCTAACTAGGAGCTTGGACGGCGGAAAAGGGCAGCCCTGGTACACGCGCTTCCTAGCAACTCTCGGCAAAACGAACAACCGCAAAGTTCCAATGCGGGCCTTAGTCGCATCCTGCATCTTCTCCTGGGTCCCCTTCCTCTACCTCTCTAACGCGCATGGCCCCGAAACCGACATCGGCACCATCCTTGACGTGCTCTCCGAGATGGGCTCCGTCGGCGTCGTTATAGTATGGGCGTGCGAATGCTGGGCCTACATCCGCTTCTACCACTGCATTCGCAACAATAAAGACGCTTTGCACGAGGTGCCGCTTGTCCGGCGCTGGAACCGCGGCACGAATAATCTACCGGATGATTTCCCGTACAGAGGCCACGGACAGCCGATTACGGCGTATCTTTCGCTGGCAGCGTGTCTGTTTTTGCTAGTTGTGGTCAACGGGAGTAGTCTCTGGAATGGGTTTTACGTGCAGCCATTTTTGTCAGCTTATCTTGCTGTAAGTGGTCTTCTCCCAACGCTGATTTGCGGAACGTGTGGCTGACAGTCTTTCTAGCCCATCTGCTTCCTTGCTCTTTGGGGAACCCTGAAAGTTCTGAGGAAGGGCCAGTGGCATTTGGTCGATCTTTCAAATGGCCAGGACGTGGCGGATAAGATGTTGAGACTACATGAGATTCGGTTTCGTAGCGCAGAGGAGGTGGGGAGGAGTGGACGGAAGGTTCAAAACCTGTGGGGTTTATTATAGTCCCCTTTATGTGGCTGCAATAATGTCAACGCAATTAATTGTTTATGTTTTGTATAAACTTCACAATGCTAGACCGCGATGTTGTGTGGAGTCTACACATTCAAGCGCAACGAGCAGTTACGGAGTGCTGCACATCGAAATTTGACCAGAGGAACATTGAGGGCCCTACAATAGCTTATAAAGGAATTAAGGTAGCCTAGACCAGTTTCTACAAACCTGCTCGGCCGTGAAGATTAGAAGGGTACTTTCTAGCCAAAAAACCATCTATTTCAGAAATTTCAGAACACACAGGTTTTGCAAGGAAGCTCTACGCTCATATATTTCCGACTTAATTTCCAGACCTTCATCATCAACGTGTGTGATCTCAAGCTCCTAGAGCGTATATGGTAAGGTTGCCTAGGAAAACGCCGTCTGCCGCATGAGAAGGCTTTGATGCAGGTCTGTCAAATATTGGGCTCGGTCGGATTCTTTCAATGAGTTGAAAGACTGGACATTCGTCGGGAGTCTACTTCAGAAATCATCATCAGGTAAACGTATTTTTGGAGATTCAAGCGACGAGCGGACAGGCCAGAGCCTGTTGGGAATGATCATCGCGAAAGATGGTTCGATCCAGCACTCCAAGGGAACAATCTCGCTTTGCCTCTCCTCCAGCCCATATGCAGTGCTGTAAGTCATGACAGAAACTTTTAGAATGCGGATGGACAACTTTCTGAAAGAAGTGATTTGTCTGAGAAAGGTGCGCATAGCTTACAATATAAAAGGGTGTAGGCTACTCAGTAGTAAAAGAGCTAGAGTTAAGTTAGAGAGAAACAAAAAGAGATAAGAAGAAATCCTAGAAAGGGAGGGCGAGGAGGGGTGCCCGATATGGACAAGCGAGGGACTGTGCTAAACCATAAGAGGGTGTCCCTAGACAGAGATCACTATGCTTTCCATTTTTTAAAGTTTGTCTAAATAGGTCTAGAAATCATTTAACTAACGTTACAAGCTTTCTGCTTCTTTGCCTTTTTTAACTGCGCAAACACTAGAATCTTAAAACAATTAGAATCTGTTAGAATTGTCTTGGCAGCAGGTTGCAGTTGTAAGCGTTTATTTTATAGAGTTAGTAGTAGCTTAGGAATGCTCTGAACATGTTTAGAGTGTCTTAATAAGTACAACTTATTGTGCTTCTTTATTATGCTAGAGAAGAATACTAAATATATTAAGGACATGTGAACATTTTGTTGTAAATATCTTACTGCAAGCATTACAAATTATTTCTATTAAAAGGTTTCTAATACTTTTAGACTGCTTAACTAAGGTGCTAGAGTAATATTTCTTAATATAATTAATTAGCGTACTCTAAAACTAAAACTTGTACTAAACATATTTAGATTTTGTTAGCAGCAAGCTCTAACTTTTCTAAACCTAATTCAAACATGTTTAAAATCTATTGGAACTCACCCTGCATAGGTCCTTACTCACCTTTACTCTGCAGTAGATCTTACTAAAATGTACCTCTACACATCTATTTTTGTTCTAAACAGGTTAGGAGCCTAATAAGATTGTGTTTAGAATTTGTTTTCTTACCTTCTTAAATACATTAACTCTAAATGGCAGACAACCTAAGCTACTGTACGCCTTGCAGGCATCCTAGAACGTATTTAGAAGGGCATAGAACATGATAAAGGAATGCCAACGCTTATCTGCAGCTGTTTCGACATGTTTAGAACGCGTTAGTAGGGTATCAAGATCGCGTTTACGAAGTGAGAGGGAGAGAAGGTTGCGTGCGAGATTTTGAAGTGGGGCTAGCTTAGGTCTGGGTCAGCTGTGTGCAAGCCAAATAGGTAATCAATCAAGTCAAGTTGGACCTTGAAAACGCCACAAACTTGCTTGCTGGCAATTCTGACTGTTTAGCCTTGGTTTTATTTTAGGAGGAAATCTCAGAAGCATATCAACCGCACAAATTTCCAAACCTAACAAACTAGGCCTAGAATCAAGGGAAACCCAGGACAATTTTCTTTCGGTACAAGGAGCGACATGTCTCATGCTATGCTCTTCGAGGAGTTAGGGTAATCAAGGTTAAAATAAGCAAGAGACCTTGTCCAGAATATCTGAAGCGTCTCAGCTCTCTCATCGGCCCCTTCACCTCGCATATTTTGGCCCAGCCCTCTGATACATACTCCTTCCTCAATGCGCCCCATATCTCCCAGTACATTAGAGAACCATCCTTGGATTCCTAAAACGAGGACCGATACCACACCTAACCCCTTCTCAATTATGTAATGGCTTGTTCCCAAACCCGCCCACGCCCTCATTCCATTCACCCTCCATCCTCCACTCAAGTAGTGTCAACCATAATCTTCTCTTTTCCAGACTGCGCTAAAAGAAGATACCACGCCATACTCCTCGCTACATTCTCCATCTGCCGCTCGTTCTTCGGACTCTCCCTCGGATACCCCTCATTCACTTTCTCAAATGTGTCATCCCAAGCTTCCTCCAAGCTATCACCTGTAACACCGTACCAGGCACCGTAGTAGACTGACCACGAGCCATTATAGCCAATCATGCAGCGTATAATTTTATCCCATTCGTAGAATATTTTGGATTTGATTTTTGAAGATTGCGGCCGAAAGAGTGCGATCTGGCATGGGAGAAGTTAATAAGGACTGCATGCAAGGTGAAAGAAGTCGTTGCAGCGTACCAGGACTTCACAACCTTTCCGCCAAATTATCAGATTCCAATCCTTCAGTCCTTCCTTTCTCACAAACCTGAACGTCTTATTCCGCGAATGTAAAAACCACTCCAACATCTCTGGGCCAGCCTGGAACAGAACAGTCGCTACCGCATCCCAGATACTTGGATTCGAAGAGAGTTCATCATCAATACTGCTTAAGTCGATGATGTGAGCGTGTTTGGTGGGCGCGTTTGCGGGGAGAAGGCTAGAGGTGTCGAGGTATCGCCACTTCGAGGAGGTCGAGGAGGTCGCGGAGAGGAGATATTTCCATTTTAGAGACTCGGTTGTGGCGGTTGATGGCACAAGGATTGTTGGTAAAAGGTTTTGTGGAGAGGGTGTTCTTTTCAGCGCTGGCGAGGTAGAGATGTTTGGACGCATTGCGAGGGAGACCTTGAGGAAGAGGGTTTGAGGTCAAGAACTGAGGTTTTTCTAGTCCAAATGAAATCCGCAGATTGGAGAAAACTAAATTAAGTTGCAAGTGGTGAAGGGTTGGAGGGGTATACCAGGCAAGTGAAATGAAAGAAATTCCGAGTGATGCGGCCTAAACTAAGAGCAGCAAAACCAAAAATGAAGAAGTATATGGCCTCAAGGCTTTCATTACTCGGTTCTTCTAGGCGAACTGAATAATTAATCAGTGCAATTACTTCACTTAAAAGATCTCCTGAAAAGTAGAAGTGACGAGAAAGATCCATAGCCGACAGCTAGTGCAATAGACTTCTGAGAGTTGGGGCTCGAGCCTCAAGGTCAACCTTTCCAGGAGTGGCATAAGTTTAGACATCTGTGCACCAATGCTTCCTTCAAAAGTGAATGAAAACTGCCTCGAGAAAATTCCTGTCCACGTCTCGAAGCTTATAAAGACTTGGTCATGGTGTTAAGCTTCTCGTGGTCCCTAAATTTGTGGTAGAGGATACCATTACCACGAACGCCCTTCAGTCCTGGGTATTCTTCCATTTCTTCCGCTTCGGGTAAGACATAAGAATTGAATCCTTACTTGGACCATGGAATAACGTGGTTGAAAGTCTTAGGTTTTGCTTCGGCGAAGTCCCGCTTACTATCTGCTAGGAATCTTGCTGATGAGATATTCCAAAATATATTGCCTGCTACGGTCCGCCAGACTATACAGTCGAATTTGATATTGTCGTAGTTCTGTTATCCAGCGAAATCTACAAACTCTCCGTGGCCACAGCTTGGACTTCCGATTACTGTAGCCAGTCATTGCTTAACTTACAAATGATTCAGAGCCCTATTTTGGTACAAATCTTGCTTTCAGACTCGCTGAAGCGCCAAACAATCTGAAAGTATCCAATGCCGTATGGAGGAACTTCGTGAGAGTAGCTATAGAGATTTTGAAGAGTATTGTGGTCGCTGTATCTTACAGTTTCGTAGTAGATATGAGATCGTCATCACGCAGGGTTTGCTTTAGGTTCCGATAATGTGCGGATGCTCGACCGGAGAGTCAGACGAGAGATCTTTGATAACATTTGTAAGGACGGGGCTCCGCACCACTCCGCCACCACAGCCAAAAAGGTACGAATAATCAAACCAGGGGTTGATTTGCAGCAGAATAGTATATATGCCTTACAACATTAAGGAATTCACCCATGTGGGGCTCTTACGCAGTTGCAAAGATTGGAAGGGTTGACGTGGAGCCTAGCTACTTAATCAAGTCCTTGAAAGCAGGGTGGTAATTGTTGAGGGGAAATCAGGCGACTATATTTAGAGTTATGGAAATCGGTGTATGGGAAGTAATTAAGTGAGAGAGGTCAGAATAAGTGAGCTGAGGCAATTCGCTCGCAATTACAATGGCATTGTTTCTCTCTCAAAGGTGTAACTTTCGACGACGGCCAAGTTCGGTAGTTGCTAACACTTGGCATTGCTCCTCTCAAATCTTCCCAACCTGCTGCGTCTCACCCTTCACCTCCCGACTTCCTGCCTCTCCCTCCTCCGCAGATTCCGAATCATATTCGCCAGGTTTAATGAACAAGCTATCGATGGACTCGAGAGACATATTCCCGGTTTCGGGGTAGAACCAGTAGATTATTGGGACGAAGACAAGGTTGGTGCACATGAAGATGAGATATGTCTTCCAGTCGAGGCGATTAATCCTGGGAAATATTAGTTGCGTACGTTCAATTATGACGCAGAGACTTCACTTACAGAACAGGCGTGATCATAACGACGAAGAAATTCCACATCCAATGCGACGACACCGAGATAGCAGTACCCCTTGTTCGTGCTTCGAGGGGTAAGACCTCTGGTCCATACACCCACGGGACCACATTAATGGAGGCGCCAAAGATGAGCATGTATATGAAGAAGAAGGCAACGGCTGCGATACTGGCCTCACGGTTCCCTTTGGCAGATAGCAAGGCGGCAATGAACATCATGCAGATCCCAAGGCCCCCACAACCCCACATCATAGTCTTCCTGCGGCCCATTTGGTCGAGGCGGAGAGAAGGGAGCAAGCATCCAATGACAAACATGATCTGGACACAACCGGCGAGGATTTGTGCGAGGCGAGGGGTTTGTCCGACGTTCTTAACCAGCACCGTTGGCATGTAATAGACCACCATGTTTATTCCAGATAACTGGTTCATGAAGAGACCAAACCAGGCAAGCACGACGCGACGGCGAGTCTTGAGTTTCCCATTCTTGAAGAGACCGCTGAGCTTTTGAGCACCAACCCGAGTTTCGATAGCGATGGCCTCGCGGATGCCGTCGATTTGCTCAACGATGAATGGGTCATTGCGGTCACGGTCAAAGACGGCGCAAAGGACTTCGATGGCTTCGTCTTCACGACCACGAGCGGCCAGCCAACGGGGAGATTCAGGAAGTCCCCAAACTAGGAAGATAACAGCGATAGCGAAGATGAGCTGAAGAGCAATGGGGGTGCGCCATGCAACGGAACCACCAATGTAAGTGAACCCGAAATCGATCCAGTACTACGGCATGTTAATTTCGTCGAAGTGAAGTAGGTGATCGAGGTCCTCTTACAGCCATGACAATACCGACACCGATGAAAAGCACTTCCCAAGAGACGAGACGCCCACGGTGTTCTTTCTCACACAGCTCTGATTGATACATGGGGACGGTGGAGGAATCGATTCCTGTTCCAATGCCGGTGATTATGCGGCCAATGATAAGATGCGCCAGGTGATATGCGGAGGTCTGAAGGGTAGCGCCCACAATAACGAAGCCCATTGCCATCCATATCTGAATATGTAAGTAAGATGAAGTCACATGTTGATGGATTTCATTCACCATTCGTCGCCGACCGAAGTAATCTCCGATAAAAACGTTGAGGATACATCCGGCAAGAGCACCCAAGCAGTAGGAGGAAACGATGATTCCAGTCTTTGTATCATTGGGGTGATCGAATTGCTCGAGCCAGTCAGGCATCTGAAGGATACCTCCAAATACACCTTGGTCGTAGCCGAAGAAGAGGAATGCTGCCAAACAGCACGTAGCAATGGCAGCCCTCAATGGTCTGCCTCGACCATAGCAGGACCGCATGGTGAGATCGCAGAGAACAAAGTGGAATGTTGAAGAGTAGAGGAAGTGAAAAGAGGAAGAGCGGTGAACCTGGTCGGCGGTGAACGAGTCGATTCCATGAGGGTGATTCCTTCGGTTTTATATCCGGCCCACACCACTCATCCTAGCACCTCAGAACCCCAGGTTTCGAACATAATTTCCTCGGCCGGAAAGCTCGTTCGGGCAAAAGTGAAGGATGTCGTTCCTGTGCTTGTGGGGAAGAACATGCACGGAACACCACTAGCGGGATTCAAATTCCACGCCAATGCATGCCTAATGGTTCGAGTCTCACGAATCTACGTCGACCAAAACCACAACCAGGATAGACACCGTCAGCGGCGCCAATTGCAAAATTTACCGGACACTTTCCACATGTGTCGAGGATCTTGGAAGTTGGAGATGCCAAGCCACTACTCCGCATGGTCACCCCATGGGGATCTGCGGCTGATGGAGGTCCTGACTAGTACGGCCGGGTTTCCTAAAACGGCATTCCGAAACCATATGTTTGCACTTCTGACAGTTCACTGCCAGAGCGAAGACACGAGTGAAGATGGTGTCTGTTGTAGTGGAGCTGGGGACCTTCTCGGGTCTAGAACATGTGACGGATATAGTTCGCGCTACCTGCCTAGGTTGTTAATTGGTCGTTGGTTCATCTCTGACTAGCACCGACAATGTGCAGAATGCACCACCATGGCAGCCTCAAGCCGTATGTTGAGCTCAAGTTTGAGGATGTACATTGGGAAGCAAAATCTGCACTGACCCATTCTAGATAGTCCCCATCCTCTGTCGCAGCATCAAGACCTCGTGTTTAGTAATGAAGACACTGCTGACCACAGCTATGATGTCTGAAGTTCCTCCATTGCCCAAATTTTCTAATGCATCGACCAAATCTCTGACCTTAGCTCCTTCCTATTTGTCACGGTAATTCGTCCAGAAGATGCTTTTGATGCCAACAGAATTCATGTACGAAATGCAACGATAACAAGGCCTCGACGAAAGTATGTTAGGGCTTCCCTCAGTTTGCGCCTTTGCAAAACGTTGTCTGGTTGTAGTTTTGGCAGGGGGTTGAAGGAGGTCTTCGTATAGAAATCCGGTAGGAGGCTTAGATAAATCAGGCAGAACAGTCTGTGCGCCTTCTTTTACAAGATTGCAGCAAAAGGCCCAGTCGTCCGGAGACGCCGACGATCGAGTATCTTGATCAAGACAATATTTCATGTCTCTCGTGTCTCTCCACTCAAGTCTAGCAACATATAGGTCTGCACCATTCACTCGTGGGTGAATCATCCGCTCCGTAACACTGCAGGATCCGGTATGTCTCTTTGGTATTAGCATCGGCTGTGTCTTAGCTGTAGTGGCCGCCACATCTCGTTCCATCGTCTGATAACCATTAATCGGTGTACCTCTTTGGGAAGTCACATTGACTTACTTTGACTATGCGTTCTAGAAGTAAAATACGTAGAAAGAGGTTTCCTACCCAGGACGTTGGACGAGGATTCAAACGAGTACCTGCCATTGATTGAATTGGGACCAGAGTTTAAATTGGAAGGGCCCACTATCGTTTTATATCCCGACTGCATTTTCATGTACATACTGTTGGCGCTGTTGTTGTTTGTGTTGTCTATAAGGACACACGCCCTTGTTGTGAAATTGATCCTGCTGGTTCTTGAGGTGGTGTTTCTCTGTGCTGTTTACCCTGAGCGGAGCCACATACTCCTCGTCTTTCCCGAGTTGAAACTCGAGATTTAGAATGGTACGATTGAGATGGGGGGGCCTTAAACCACGACTCTTGAACTTGCGAAGTGGCGTATTATTGCTCCGTAACGGACTGGGCGAGGGCTGCGGTATAGACCTTCTCAACATAATTTTTGACAGCCTTGTGTCGTGGTCGAGCCTTTCGTTTAGAATTACCACCTGATAGTTTACAGTACGATTTTTGAGAAGACACCGCACTAGAGGCCAAGAGGCTGGAAGCTGAGAGAGTAGAGTGGATCGCCATCATCTCTAAGTGCATGGAGAGTGGCGTGTTGACATGACTACCACCGCCGCCAATGCTTTCAGACAGCATGAATGTCTTCGTGGCAGCTACATTCTGTAGTTCTGCTGTTGGCTGTCGCTCGGGCTCCCGCTTTGATTTATGCTTCTTTAATTTGGCCATTGCATTGCCATCTAGGCAGTGATTTGAGATTTGACCGATCTTCAAGGTCCTTCAATTACAGCCGGCACGATAATCATTAAAGCCTTGGCAAATGGCTTTGCCACCGCGACCGATAATGCAGCCATGGCGGTAGCGAAAAGGATAACTAGCAGCCTGCTCAAGGCAAAAGTTGAGGTGGTGCCAGTCTTCATTTTGGTGATGAGGAATGTTTGCGTCTGGAGTACAAGTCTTGGAATTTGAGCTAATTGAAGTGTCGAATTCCGTCGGTCGTATATTAGCTGTGTTGAGAACAGGAAGGAAAGTATAACTCTCACGGTTGTGTTGTGCTAAGGCTCTGAAACGAGCTAATCCCTAAAAGGCTAGAACAACTTGGCGGTTGCCTTTCCTTTGTCTCGAGAGCACATTGCCTGCAAGTCTCACCCCAATTCACGTCATGTTCACGTATACATTCTTCAAGATGCAATAGGGTGCGAAGGTGGATATGCTCTTTACTTGTGATCTAGTGTGACGTCGCGTCACGTTTTATCTGGATCGCAAAGGATTTCCAGAAGCAATCTATTCGGCCCACACAACCGCACTCACGCCGTCCTCGTTCTCTGGAGTTCCGGCAGAGCCGATCCTCAGAGTCGCAGCCTGTCCTGTCAACTTCCCTGTTGCTGGGTCTCGCTTGACGATGGCCACATTTGCAGTAGTCTGGTCTCCAATGGCTACATAGTCGCCGGCCTGGTTGATATCAAAAGTCCGAGGATATGTGCCGAAAGAAGAAGTGGCTTCAACCCAGGTCAAGACCCCTGTGGAAGAGATAGCATATTGCGTAATCGAGTCATTTGGACTGAACTTCTTGTCATTTCGGTTCGTCGAATAGAGGAAGCTGCCCTTCGTGTGGACCTCCGCTACCTTCGTCCCGGATGGAGCAGAGCTGTTGCCCGAATAAGGAGTCAAGGTCTGCTTCAAAGACAAAGTCATGCAGCCCGATGACGGGTAGGAGACACCCCATCCAGAGACCGAGTTACCGAGCTCGTTGGCGACGAAAAGCATCGTACTCTCAGCTGCTGCTACGTTTCCACGTCGGACACGAGACGATGTAACTGCTGCTGGGGCCCAGAAAGTACCGTGCCTTGGGCCCGTCCCAGCCGGAGTCTTTGCACCACTGCACTCTGTAAGCTTTCCAGAGGTCTTGTCAATGGACCAGATGCGAATCACATCAGCACCGAGGTCAGGGCTCAACAGATAGCCTCCAGTGGGGTCTGTGAATACATGGTGTGGGTGAGGTGCATCCTGGCGGCTTGGATTTGCTCCTTTTCCGGACATAGTGAACTTTAGGGTCTGAAGAGCCTGGCCCCCATTCAGTGGAAGCTTAAACGTTGACACAGTGGACGATCCGCTAGTCACGTCAGGGCTCCATTATCGTTGTTTAGAACCGCAGAACTCACTAGTGGGCATTCGCGATGAAGCTTTTCCCATCAGAGCCTCCGTATAAGCAGTTTGCAACAGCCCCACCGGTTGCCGTCACTTTTCCGCTCTGTGTCAAGGCACCATTAGCACCAATGGAGAAAGACGTCAAAGTCCCAGTCTGGCCATAGTTCTCATCAGGCACATAGAGAGCCTTGCCTGGTCCATCATAGGTTATCCAGCTGGGCATCGAGTTACCCGACTTGGTCGAACTAGTCAACGTCAACGATGAACCGCTGAAAGTCAGGTAGTTGATGTTTCCACTGTAATGCGATGCATATAGATTCGCTGCAGTCGCAAAGCTACCGAATAACGGGATGAGAAATTGGTGTGAGGGCAGCATGGCGAACGATAACGAGGGACACAGTGATTCCAGAGCAAGATGGGCGCGAAGAGGAAGGAATGTATGGATTCTTCAATGATCTTTCATCTCCGGAATCTTCGAAACAGTCCACGTGCATACAATTGGCGCAATTGGGTTACTTTGGTGAAACGCACGTTAAAGTGTTTCGGCCACATCACGTACTACTATTATGGTTTTTGTGCCGAGAAAAGGGTGGTATAATATCTAGGTACGTCTGTGCCACTATCCCGGATAAATTCCCTCATGAGTCGAATAATCAACCCAAATTTCCGGTTCGCCTTTTCTACGGCCAAAGTTCCATTTTCCTCGTTAACCGGTCGCAAGATCGGATAAAGGCACAGTTTCAGCCTCATTTTGCCGCTCATCCCCACAAGACAACTCTATCTTCATGATCTCTTGGTATCCTTGGCCCTTGGCACTTGGCCAGCCCCCCACCCGGGTTCCCGTCAACCAACATGCTTGCACCTGATCACGGGGGCGACCAACCTTTGGCCTGCGGGAGCACATGTTCCCTCAAAATTCCAGACACTTTCTAGAAAACCGGACAGCCAATCCTGGCCGAGTCCGATATTGACCTCGGATGTTGTAGCCGTGAAGGAAGCCATTGTCCCAGAGTTGGACGTAGGTTGGGGAAATATGGTCTCCGGAGGACTCGGGTGAGCAGTTGAGAATCCCCCCACTTGCTGAGGTCGTACGCTTCTCTTACGATAGTTCTATTTGCAGCCTATATGAGCGAGTTACTACTCGATGCGGTCTCTCCTTATCTCATTTCTCACATTCGCTTTTGTCCGCAGGTGATGCACTTCATGAGCTCCCGTTCCTGGTAAGGCATAGCTCGAGTCTGGCATCCTGTATTTATATGTTCAGGATTTCTTTTGTTTGTCAGGGACAATTCTAGTCGATCTTTTCTTGTACTGCCCGATCTCCCCTCTAAATCCCCCACCATGGGAAGCCTCGCTTTCTTTATTGCCTCTCTAGGATTTCTTCTACCTTTAGTCTCGAATGCAAACCCTCTGGATAAGAGAGCGGCGGTAGACACTTGTCTCACAAACGCGAAGGTTCCAGTGTTCACTTCCGGATCTGCAGATTTAACACAGGCTCTTAAGCCATTCAACTTACGCGTGACTTTTAAGCCAGCAGCCTATGCTGTGCCTTCCACAATTCAACATGTCCAGGACGCCGTCGCCTGCGGTGCGAGTAACGGAGTCACAGTCACTGCAAAGTCAGGTGGACATAGCTATGGATCTCACGGGCTTGGGGGCGAGGACGGGCATCTAATTATCGACATGAGGAATTTCAGCAATGTTACCGTCGACCAAACAGCGCAGACAGCCAACATTGGTCCTGGTGGAAGATTGGGCAACGTCGCCACTGCTCTGTACAATCAGGGAAAGCAGGCCATCAGCCACGGTACATGCCCAGGGTAAGTCAAATCTTTCGAACTTATCTACATCCCTTTGCTAATTTGATACAGAGTCGGCGTTGGTGGGCTCACCCTTCACGGCGGTTACGGATTGTCTTCCCGCGGCCGGGGACTGACTCTCGACAACGTTCTCGAGGCTACAGTCGTCCTTGCGAATAGCACCGTCGTCACTGCTTCGACGACACAGAACCCAGACCTCTTCTGGGCCCTCCGAGGGGCTGGAGCCGCCTTCGGTGTTGTCACGAACTTCAAATTCAAGACCTTCACTGCACCCGAAAACAACATCGTCTTCCAATACTTCTTCTCACCCAGCTCAGCCTCGCAACTGGCCACGGCACTCACCGCCCTGCAAGACTTTACTCGGAACTCACAGCCACCAGAGCTCAACATGCGCCTGTTCCTCTCATCATTCACCACCTTCTCAGGCGTATACTACGGCTCCCGCTCAGATTTCGACAAAATCATGAACCCGCTACTCTCAAAAATGGGTATCGGATCCGGGACAGTCAGCACAAACAGTTGGTTAAATACCCTCACCTCCTTCTCTAACGGTCCGCTCGCACAAACTGGCACTTACGACACCCATGAGACCTTCTTCTCCAAATCACTGATGCCAGAATATATGTCCCCAGAAGCCATCACAGCACTCTCAAACTACTGGAATGCAAACGCTCGCTCAAACTCTCGCCAGTGGTACCTCCTCTTCGACTGCCATGGCGGAAACGGTAGCGCTATCACCAAAGTCTCCGCCGACTCTACTAGCTACGCACACAGGAATGCAACCTTCAAAATGCAGTTCTACGATCGCGTTGCTAGTGGAAACTACGATCCTTCCTGGATGCCTTTCTTGAACGGATGGGTTAAATCAATCACAGACGCTATGCCTTCTGTCAACTTTGGTATGTATATTAACTATGCGGATACCAGTTTAACTAAAGATGAGGCACATACGCATTATTGGAAGGACAATTATAAGAAATTAGTGGATGTTAAGATGCAGTATGATCCAAAGAGGGTCTTCGAAGGGCCGCAGATTGTGGGGAGTTAAATGGGGCTGAGGAGGGTTGGAACTCCGGGGTTGTGTGGGGAGCAATTATTTGGTGTGGGGAAGGCTGTTATTTAAGCGAATAGATTGGGAGGTCTCCAAATACGGACACTATGGCGTTTACATACTCCCTACATTCATTTCTTCCGAGTCGTTATTCCCGGATGCGCAAACCTGGTTCTTGCTTACATGTGGAGTTTGCGTAGACGACAGAACATTACATGGGTGTTTCGTGACACAGCTTCGCGTCCTGTCGGCTTCCTCCTTATTTCTAGCGAGATAGTAAACCTATTAAAACTCTCTTTTATACCCTGTGATATGTGCTAATATAAAGATCCTGCTTAAGTAGTTATGGAACCAACACCAGCGTAAGCGCGCTAACCCTCTTCTAAATGGGATTTGGTACGTGGGCCACGTGCTCAAAACATTTTTTATTTCCCTTCAAAGCCACTGCAACTCCACTAACTCACAATAGACAGTTACACGGTGTTTGAGAGTTAAAACCAACAGTTAGATTCGTCATTCTTCTCATCGTCCTACACCTACCCTTCCTTCCCACCAACCTTCCCAACTCCCCTTAACCCCCAAAAACTAACAACCTGCGTCCCCAGACAAAGCGCAAAGCAGAACCAAAACGCAACACGATATCCACTTAACAGACCTTTCTCCCTGCCTACGCCCTCCTCCACAAGCCCCGAAAGCGCCAGTCCGACTCCCTTTCCAATCTGCGCGATTGTGTTAAAAACACCACCAGCTAGCGCTTGAGTCTCGTCCGGGAATGCCTCGGTAATGAGGAGGTTGGCAATGGTATAGAATGCATCGACTTGGATTGCGTTCAGAGCCACAGCAGGGAATTCGGCTGCCCAGTATGTCCACTTTGGATTCGCGAGAGCCATCAGAAGGGGGGCGATGCAGGATAGTGAGGTTGCGATAGCGATGATGTAAGGTGCCCGTACCCTGTGCACGATGAGCCCCATTGTGAGATTGGCGGCCGCTCCTGCGATGCAGGTTGGCAGAAATTGAATTCCGGAATATAAAACGCTGGTATTTTGGAGATTTTGGAAGTAGAAGTTGAGATACTGCTCCACCGAGTTGAATGCCCCCCAGATGAAGAAAACGTTGAGGCAGACAGAAGTGAAGATTCGAGAACTCCATAGGGAGTTCGGAATAAGGGCGGGGAGGTTATGGTTTGTCGCGTAGTGCATCCAGAGGGCAAAAATCGGGAGGAGAATGAGCGATGCGCTCAGGAGGCCAATGTTAGTAGGTGTACGTATTTCGGACACGGAGGAAGTGATCTCCCTACAAGTTTTAATAACTCCCATTACAGCGTAGGAATTGGAGAGGCTTACGAGAGCACGTAGAGCAGAATGCCTAGCGCCAAGGTAATAATAAGAATGCCGATCCAGTCGACGTCAGTCTTCAGTCTCCTCCAACGCACCGCTGGGTTATTTGAATTGGTACGCGGAAGCTTCCATGCTAATAGTGCTAGCACTAGGAAATTGAAGATACTGGTGATATGAAATCCCCACTGCCAACCAATTGTTCCTGCGCACACGCCTCCCATGATAAGTCCGATTCCGAAACCAATGGGTAAGCCTCCTCCCATGGATGCGAAAGCAATATTGCGGCGTCGGCCAGGAGGAAGGGCTGTAGTGACGATACTAACAGCCGATGGGAGGCACAAGGACGAAGCTACTCCACAAAGCGCTCGAATGACGATCATCTGGGTGCCCGTCTTCGAAAGCCCGGTCCCAATAGTCATGGCTACCTGAAAGATGTTTCCCAAAAGGTGCATCCGCCGACTTCCTAGCATGTCAGTAAGAGTTCCGAAAAGTAGAAGTGTACAACCATTCGTCAGGGCGTAAATTGATACAGGCCTAGACTCGTAGAAATCAGCTGACATATTCAAGAGGAAATGTAAACTATTGAGTATTCCACCATTTTAGAATAGAGGAAGGGAGAAGATGCATACCATAGCAGAAGTTTTGGGGTGAGATGGAATATAGAACCGACTTCTGGTAGTACGACAGTCATTAGGCCAGAAAGCATGCTGTTGATAGATGTGGCAGAAGCAGCAGAGATAATGACCGCTGATGTTTGAATCATCGACTGGATTGGTTGTGCATTGGCTATAGATGCCGGTGACTCTGAAGGAGTTGAAGGATGGTTGTGGCCGTTGTCCTCTGTGGTACCCGGAATGACAACCACACAGGCCGGCAGGTTTGACTGCTTTCGTTTCTCTTGGACCATAGAGTCACTATCTGAAGGGTATGCACTCTCTGATACATTTCCATTCAGTGTGCTGGCTCCCAGGTCAGACCAGCTCGGTCGCTCGTCCCGGTGAGCATTCATATCATTCAGTGGGATAATATGAAAAGTAAAAGAAGGAACAAGGAAAGGCACCTCCTTTTTATTGGTAATGAAGAGTAGTGCTAGAGGTTTTGAAGACTATCTTGCTAGAGAACATGACTGCTAGAGGGTGCCATGTTACGAAAACCTCCGATGTTGCATTGCATATTGGGTTCGTTCTCGCCACTTTGTCAAGGCAGCAGAGGGAACAGTTCACCACACACTCACAGGGCACTCTTTCACTTGGAGGTTCGTGTTGAGAAAACTGGGTCTCCAAGGTTTGGATGGGGCTGAGCTTTCCAAGTGGTTCCATGCGACACTGTTTAGGGATCCAACCAAGGGGCGAGCGCGACCTTCAGCTAAAACACCTTTCAGCTTACCTCGTAAGTATGTAATCATATAGCGATCCCTGAATTTGTCACGGCGGCCACGACATGAGCAATTTTACTCATGCCATTCTAGGGTTTGGGGGTACCTTTTCCCCAACACCCGAAAGTGCAACTTCAAGAAGCAGATAGATCTAACTTGGCTCCCTCGTGCCACTACACCCCCAAACGTACATACATCGCCAGCTTGATTCGTTGGTCCTTCCGTTCATTCGTGTTGCACAAACTCTCATGCTGGTACAGCTATTCTGAAGTCACTTCAACAAGCCTAAACTCAGCCCGAGAAAATTTTCCCGCAAAAGTGGAGAAAAGTCGGCTTCGGAATTAGTTAGTCTAGGTTTTCCCTTACGCTGTAAGTAGAGCACACCGCTATATTTTTAGGTACTACACCACGCACAGCTCCGTATTCCTGCCGCATGAGCCTCCAACTCGTCCCTGTATTAATATGTGCGCGAGAAATAATGATCTATATTACGAGCAGCACAATGGAATACTCTAACATTATGTTCACACCGACCCTGTAAGATAAACAGAATACATTGAGAGAAGATGTCAACAAGATGCATTTCCGCTCCACAACCTCCCCTGCTACGTTCCACGTTGGGTGATAGGTATGCTTGAGTTTGTGCCATTGCCATCGGCCGTGAAATTGTCAACAGGAGGCCACTGCCGCCAGGTCCCCCCTCCTGTTTGGTGACTTTACCTTGTTCTAATCATAACAAGGTCACCGCTGATCCGGTGGCTGCGGTGCCCAGTCTCGTGTCCGCATCAGGGTAGCTTAGCGTACGGCTTGTACAACGCAACTCCAAGTAGGCCTTTGGGCTGCCATCAAACCCGGTCCAGTGCCCGTTATCCAATATTTAGAATTTCTACGCCAATTCCAATGAGACGCCATTGCTCCTAGATGAGGTTCTAAGATGGCTGGACCGTATTTCGCAAGCTTCTCTGTTCTTCGTTTTCATCTGCGTTGCACTGCATCTCAGGTCTAATTTACGAAGCATTGAAGACGTAAGCACGGTAGTGAAACGCACATCTCATTCGCTTGCCCCCGAATATCGGTCAAGCACCCGTCGATATAACATTTGACAGAAGGTCAGTGCTGCCGACAGTTTCCTTCTACTGTTACTTATATCGTTCACCTTAGCTAATATGGAACCAAAAGGCATCGCGGCATAGATTGTCCGGCTGACGGTCACATGCTAGTACAACACCGCGTCGAAGGAAGGTGAGTGTTAGCGCGCTCCGTGTTTCTCTCGGCATGAGGTTATGGCATCCATGACACGGAGGACTCGACGACACCGCGTACCACCCCTTCTCTGACCTTGCCCACCATTAAAATGCATCATGCTTGCTTGGAGATGTGACTCTCAGAAACTTCTGAAGCTGTTGTGTTATTGGAGGAGACCGCTGCGGTTCGTGTTCGAGCACTGCAAATGAAGAGGCACAGGAGGGCGTATTGGTTCTCGCAAGGAAATACCCTTTCTACGAGTAGCCTCGACAGTTCAGTATAACTCGTAATTTGGGTGGGTGGAGGCGTGGTAGCCTTCTTCCCATTTGTTTCAACTGCTCCTCTGCAACGGGTGATAAGTGGAAATTGCAACCTAGGCAGAGGAGGAGACCCATAACTCAACTCTCCGCAAGCAAGGATGATCTCGGATAGCATTTAGTGTCTGTCATATAAATACTGGACTCTCACCCGTGCAAGATTCTTGGATTCAATAGACATTAAAGCCATTGCTGGATTTAAGACCTCTAGAAATACCAACCATCATCGAAGATAACCTTTCCTTCCTCACACCAAAAATGAAGACCGATCAGCTAAACCCCATCAATGGCTGCACGGTTTATAGCCATGCAGACCACAGTCATGCATCTCTCGTCCACCAGACCTGGGCACGGCTCCAAAGTCTAGTGGAAGGAGACCAAGTTCGAATTAGTGGCCAAAGCCTGGATATCGCTAGTGTTGTAGCAGTTGCCAGGTGAGGTGGATAGAAAAGATAGTTCGCACTTTGAAACTGACTGCAATAGAAACGGATGTTCCCCAGAACTAGAAACAACGCCCGAGGTGCTGGATCGTATTCAAAAAAGCGTCGATACGCTTGAAGAGTATCTGTCCAAAGGATACTATGCATACGGTATGAACTTTATAGCCTTTACGAGGTATGAGGGCTGACATTGTATAGGAGTCAACACGGGATTCGGAGGAAGTGCCGATTCGCGAACGAAGGATGTGCTTGCATTGCAGAGATCCCTTCTCCAACACACCCAAAGTGGTATTCTGGTTGACATCGATAAGAAAAGCCACGGAATAGCGAATTTGGATGTTGGATTCCACTCAATGCCAGCATCCTGGGTGAAAGGTACCATGCTTGTCCGCTGTAATTCTGTCGTCCGGGGTCATTCTGCGGTCTCTCTGCGAGTCGTCGAGCTCATCATAAACTTACTTCGCAACAACTGTGTTCCTGTAATTCCCCTTCGAGGAAGTGTATCGGCATCTGGAGATCTCCTTCCTCTTGCATACATCGGTGGCGCAGTCGAGGGGAGTCCTGATATCTTCGTCTGCATCCAAGAGGGCGACACGTACAAGATCATTTCTGCCAAAGAGGCTTTGGCTCATATTGGAGAAACGCCGATTACTCTTGGACCAAAAGAAGGATTGGGCCTCATTAATGGAACTGCTGCGTCTGCAAGTGTCTCATGCCTTGCATTATATGATGCAAATAATCTTGCCATTATGACACAGGTCCTGACTGCCATGGCCGTGGAGGCTCTTCTTGGAAACGCTGAAAGTTTCCATCCTTTCATCGCTGAGGTCCGTCCTCACCAAGGCCAGATTGAGGTAGCAAAGAATATCCGCGGCTTCCTCCAGGGCTCCAAGCTTGCGACGTGCCTTTCGTCAGACGACAAAGATCGAACTAAATCTGGCCTGTACCAGGATCGATATGCGGTTCGAAGCGCATCCCAATGGATTGGACCCCAGCTTGAGGATCTTCTACTCGCCCACGAGCAGATTACGACGGAGCTCAACTCGACGACAGATAACCCCCTCATCGACATCGAAAAGAAAGACGTATATTCTTGTGCCAATTTCCAGGCAGCTTCCATCACTTCAGCCACTGAAAAGACTCGACTCGCTATACAGATGCTTGGCAAGATCATGTTCGGCCAATGTACGGAGCTCATCAACCCATTCTTGAACAACGGCCTGCCCGCAAATCTCGCAGCAGACGACCCAAGTCTTTCGTTTACGATGAAGGGAGTGGACGTGAACATGGCAGCATATATGTCCGAACTGGCTTTCCTGGCTAATCCAGTGTCCTCTCACGTGCAATCAGCAGAGATGCACAATCAAGCCGTTAATTCACTCGCACTCATCTCATCTCGATACACTATGCAAGCAGTGGAGGTAGCGCGCCTCATGGCATCTTGTTTTCTGTATGTCTGCTGCCAAGCCCTTGATCTCCGCGTCTTACATCTCGAATTCTTGTCGAAGCTGAAGCCTGCTGTGCTGCAAGTCACGCAGGAGGTCTTTGGGGAACTTCTAACCCCTCATGTACTTGATACTGCGCATTCTAGAGTCGTTGACGTAATTCCCGGAGCGTGGGGATCTAGCACACACCTTGATGCCACCGAACGATACGAGCATCTCGTCAACACTACGCTTCCCGTTCTCACCAACGCGATAGCTTCGACTACTTCCTCACGCAATCCAAGTTTAACACTCGCTCACATCGAGGCATGGAAGGAGAGGATGCTCGAGACGGTTTCTTCAGCGTACACCAAGCACCGTGCTACTTTCTTCTTAATCCAAAGCACACCCCAGTACTTGGGGAAGGCGTCCACGGTAATGTACACTTTCGTGCGAAAGGATCTCGGGGTGCCAATGCACCAAGGCTTGGTGGAGCATCCTCGTGGGTGTGAGGCGGCAGAAGCGAATACTATGGATGGTCGACCCAAAAAGACAATTGGGTCCTGGGTGTCGATTATCTATGAGAGTTTGCGGAGTGGGAGAATGAATGACAGGATCATGGCGTGTCTGAACGATTAGCCAAAAGGTAAGACTATGCTTTATCCATAAGGGAGTAGGAGTTGACCAGAGCTCGGGAATTAATACGAGGTTCCGGCTCACTATTCCTCTGTCTTTAGTATGGCTAGGGAAGTCTTTCTTGGTCGAGATATTCTCTGATAGTTCCATTCTAGTATCTTAGCTCCTATTGATGTCTTGTGCTTTACGTAATCAGGATGCTGAGTTCAGAGGTGAAGCACAGCGCTTTTGGTTTGACACTAGCGAGTACCACGGAAAATGTTTTGATGTATTAGAGATATACATACAATGCTATGCCAGCACCATCTACTGTCCCAATAACCAAAACAAAGAAAGTCTTGAAGGGAAGTCGTGAAGACTAAATGGTATCATGCCATCCCAAGCCCACAAACCCCAAGTGTTAAACATATTTAGAAAAAAGAGAAAATCCATAACCCACTATCCCGACTCTCCCGCCCATTGACCAGTCTATAGCTTGCTAAAGTTCCGACTGATCATAACCACCACTCCCGCAACTATCTTAATCGCAATCCTAAGGACGAAGACAACAGTCTTGAACGCAAAAGTCAAAACACTTATAATCGTCCTCGTCACGAGCGGTAATTTATCTTCATCCTTCTCCTCCTTCTTTTTCTTCTGCTTCCCCTCTTTACTTTTTGTCTTTGTTTGTGACTGCCCGTACCACTCGCCCAACTCAATATCTTTGTCGAAAGACTCGGATTTGGAAGTATGCCCAGTCGTCGTGCTCCGTATCGACCACTTCCGAAGGCTAGATACAGGGTTACCATGTTTCTTCCCACCCCAGGCTTCGTATCCATCGACGAAGGAGTCTTTGAACTGCTTCGCGGTACTGGGGCCCTTCTTACCCAGCACGATGCTCGGTGGTGGAGGCTCGAAATTCTCTTGACTTGCATTCCTGCTGCGCCGCCCGCGCACCGCTTCTGCGACTGCGACTGCAAGGAGCGTGGATGCTGCAACGTCGATGAGAAAGGGGTTTCCGAAGCGGGAGAGAGCGCCGAGATTTAGGATTAAAGCGTCGTTAGCGAAATCGAGACGTGCGAGCATAGCATCATCGGCGGTTGCGTCGGTCGTGGTTGGCAGTTGAGTGACATCCATTTCTGAGGGTGTTATGCTGATTGGTCGGGCATCTAGTCCGAGGCTATCAAGCCGTGGTGGAGGAGGGGGAAGGCCGTTTGCGAAGGCAGTTGCGCGTGGGGACGTAGGCGAGAGGATGTATGGGTTCATGATGGTTATGGAAGCAGGTTTTTGGTTGTTGAGTCGAGGTGTCGAAGGTATATTGTGTCCGTATATCGCAGTCATGGGACGGGTGGAGGGTTTGTTGATGACAGAGCAGTCGCCCTCTATCTGGATAGGGAAGATTCCAAGACTGGGATGATGCAATGAGTATGAGCCTTCTGAGGGCATGTGTTGCGCCCAGGGGTTAGTTTGCTGTTGTGGGGCATCCCGGGTCCAGGCAAGTGCGCAGCATTCACGTTGGGCAGCACTCATGAGGACGCCTTCAGCGAGTGCTTGGGCTGCCGGTGATGTCGCCCCTGGGTCAGTGAGAGCGATATGTGATGCAGCAGGTGTGTTTGCTGCAGCGTCCAGGGCTTGGAGTGCAGCAAGTTTGGGGTAGATGCTTGTAAGGAGCGTCGTCGATTCTTGTTGGAGTGGGTCGAAGACCTGGCTGTCCATTGATGGTGGAGCAATGAGGTCGAGATGAGCAATGGGAAGGACGCGTGGTTGGGTAGGGTGGTGGCGTTGAATGAGCAGTTCCTGCATAATACTCTGAACTTCGTGTTCGCCAGCAAGGTTTGCTTGACCTAAGCTGTAGAAAGGAAGAGATGGAGTGGTGCCGAAGGTTATTGTCGGGTTGGCTGCAGTAGCGCGGTGCATTCGTAGGGTGTAAAGCTGTACTGCTGGATCTTCTTGGCCATTACACGCTACCCATAGGTTGTCGAGAAGATGGGAAGGAGTGAAGAAAGGCTTTGGTGGAGGACTCGTGCTTCCATCTCCTGCGATGTTGCTGTGGGGGATATAGAATTCAGGAGAGTATGGTGACCTGCTGATCTGTGTCTTTGGAATGTGTGTTGGGGATGCTTGAGTTGGTTTGTACTGTTGTTGGGCCAAAGGAACAGTGGGGTTGTAGACTGGGAATATCGACCGGATTGGAATCTCTTCCCCTGTTGACTGTCTTGTAAAGTTTGTAGCAGCGCTGTTGGCCCGGACTAGTGTAGGACTCGCTGAATGCACTGTCCTAATCTCCGAAAAAGCTGGGGATGCTACTCGGTTCAGAACAGGACTTGAGTTTGGTGAGCGTTGTTTTCTTTGGTCATCTCGAACTGGCAGTGACGGCGATGGTGCTCGAGGATCTTGGATGCGATGGGAGGCTTTTCTGTGCATTGTGGGCGATGGTTCCCTTGGCCTGGGAGGTGAGTCGAAAATTGGCCTGCTTTCTTGTGTAGGTGACCGAGTAGCAGACGAATTAGGTATGTGTGCTCTTGGGGGAGCTGCTACCGAGTTTGACGGTGACACCGGAACCGAATTGACTTGAATGATGAGCTCATGGAAGTCGGTTGGAGCCTTCGTACTCTTTGCACTCTCCATCTTCTCTGCTGTTGGCTCAGGAGTAGGGGGCTTTACGCGGAGCTTCCTGTTCGGACTCGGTTGCCTCGGGGGTCGAGGGGGAGGAGGAAATAGTTGCAATGCAGGACCCGCCATGATAAACCGTCTCTTTCAGATTAATTCGATCACCCTAAAAATACTAGAAGAACCAAACAATGTTTCTCAAGATCAAACGAAGGCGGACTAAAGAAATCAATTAAGATGGTCACAAAGCCTTGACGTGACCGACCTGCCTAAGCAAACTAGATAGTGTGGGGAGAAGGGTTTTAAGATGCGTGCACGAGCAACAATTCCACACAGACGGAAAGCTCACTAGCATTGCAGCAAAGGCAATAGCGGTTCTCCGCTGTCGCCCTTGCAGAAGGCTGCTCCTTTGGGCCTTGTGGTGTATAGGATAATCCAATCAAGACGCACATAATCCTCGGCGCTTCCATCAGATTGAAGGCGGCGGTTATATTTTGGGTGGTTGGTTGTTCACAAAGTAAGCGCCCACCGCTCGCTACACCAACCACAACGATGCAGGGCCTGCACCCTGCATTGATTCGTCGGACTGCATGCGTTGTCCCTCCGCACGGGCACCAATGTTTGTGACGAACTGACCAGCGGCCCGCCGCCGCGAGTATCTCGGAGATCTATTTTGAGCGTCTAACATGCCTTCGATGAGGGGGACGAGCGAGATCCTCCGCATCCTGACCATGTCCCTGACCGAAAGCGGAGAAGGCATGTCGGATGCTGCTTTCGGTGCGGATGGTTGGAATGCTGTAAGGTGACGATAAAGAAGAAGTGTCCGGCTGTTGTTGTTTCCGAATGCAAGGCAGATTCTGACTCTATTTGCAGCTCGACTGATGGGCAAAGGAAAGGGAGCACAACGGTAACAAACGATGAGCGAAATTTTTGATCCACGCCGTTGTTTCAATGATTGGTATTGAGGCTTGAAGCGATGCAGCCACGAGAGTGCCTAGCGGTAAAGGAGAGGTTGAGCATCACAGAGGTAGCCGCTGGCGAAGCTGATTTCATTGCCGTTGACCTAACTCGGCCTAGTGTGCCCCTGGGAAACGGCGATGCTCGGAAAAATGGAGCATCGAAACATGTCGATAATGCTGATTCTACAGCGCGTTCTGGACTTTTTGGCGTCAAGAAAGATATCAGATGAAGTACGAGGTTCCAAGGCGAATTTCGCCTTGGTGTCCAGGGGATAATAGTAGTTATTCCTCAGCAACGAGCTTCCCCGATGCGAGTTCCGGGCGCGATGCGGACAAGCTTTCAACGACATCGATTGCTGGCCTGACTGCCCGCGTCCCAAATTTTTGTCAGATTCAAGACATTGGGAGGTTTAAGCGGACAAATCGAAGCGGGTAACAAGAGTTCAAGAGCCACTCACAGCCTTTCTCTAAGGAAATCAAACATGTATTTTCTCAAAGTGACGCGTCAGAGTGAGGTCACCCCATGCAAAGAATAGGAAAGGCAATATGGAAATAATCAATATGTCGGACATGCATTGCTGTCGTGAGCTGCAAGTCGCGATGCAAGTCAGCAGTAACTCACGTGCTCACATCGCCATATCCGGTATCGCGACCTGCCACCCTTTATCGATAACCTTAAATAGCCGAAGAAAACTTATCCCACGTGCGTCATTATTCAGCTCAGCATCTTCACACCTCGCCATGCCTACAGAATTAGAAGAGGTAAGCGTTTATTCTTGAATTCGGGAAAAAGAAAAAGTCTGAGATTTTCCCGGCAGCTGGTGGAGTTTCTCCACCATGGAAACACGCAGATCCGTCAGGTTGGTAAGATAGCCCCGTCGTCTCCACCTACCTCAGTGTGAATTTACTCATGCTTCACAGCTGCGGACCATCTCGTCGGATACTCACAGTCACACACTAGCCTATTCAAACGCGACCAGTTGACGCCTATCAAAGGCCTCAAGCTCCTTGTCAAGGACTATGCGCCCATAGCGAAGAATGCCCTTACGATCCTCATCAACATTTCCCACGATAGCGAAGTCCTCAAGTCTCTCGCAAAGGACGATGCTTTCCTGGAAACGCTATTATCACGGATAACCGTATGTCAGTTTGCCGATACAAATTTGCCGTGGAAACATATCTGACGAAAGGGAACAGAGCAAGAAAGAGCAAAATGCAAACGAGATGGCGATGCTGCTAGCTAACATGGCAAAAGACGATTCGCTACAACGAGTCCTTGAACTAAGGCGCGACATACCAAAGGAGTTGTCAACATCAAAATGGGCCATTGACCAGCTGCTAGACTGCTTTGTCAAAGGCGCCGAAGGAAGCTACAACAAGCACGCCGATTTCGACTACCTATCCTACTTCTTCGCAGACCTTGCAAAAGTACATTACACCCCTGAGCCAACCCTCCCAACTTGCCCACAAGCTCACCCTGATACCTAGTTCCCACAAGGACGCACTTACCTCACCTCCCCGCAGCCCCACGACTCCAACATCATTCCCCTGACCAAACTCCAAGTCTTCACCTCCCATGCCTCGCACATCCGGCGCCTCGGTGTCGCCTCTGCGATCAAAAACTCCGCTTTCCTCGTCTCATCCCATGAGATCCTCCTCTCCAATCTCTCCCTCGATCCTGCTCTTCCACCACCCTCCATCGGTGCAAATCTGCTGCCTTACATACTGCTCCCTCTCATGGGTCCTGAAGAATACTCCGATGAAGACACCGACGGTATGCTTGATGAACTACAATTGCTTGAGCCGGATAAAGAGAGGGAGAAGGATGCCGAGATCATGAAGACACATTTGGAGACGTTGCTGTTGCTGAGTACAACCAAGGAAGGGCGAGAAGTGTTGAGAAAGGTCAAGGTGTATCCGATTGTGAGGGAGTGCCATTTGCATGTTGAGGATGAGAGTGTCAGGGAGGCGTGTGATAGGCTCGTGCAAGTTATCATGAGGAAAGAAGAAGGTGAAGAGGACGATGTGCCTAATGGGAGTGGAGGCGGGGGTAGGCTTGTGGAACTGAAAGAAGGCGAGGACGATGAGGACGAGAGGATTATTGATATTTGCTGAGGATTTAAATCATGCTATCGCAGAACTCGGGCCATAGCTACGGTATGTCGGATTTTTCAGCCCTCGCTGGAATCAAAGAGGAAGCCAGGAGGATCTAGTCTCGGTTGCAAACCTGATCCTTCTCTTGTTCCGTTTTACCTAGGTGACAGCCCGCAGGTATTCAATAGAAAACAGCAACCCAGTACAAGAACTTTAAAACGCCTATTTATGCTCGTTCTAAACATCTATGCAACTCTGCTTCAAAATGCTCCTCCATACAGCCCCGTATCTCATCCAACTCTCAGATTTTCACAGGCTTAATCTCATCCTCCCCACTGGACCTCCCACTCTTCTCACTAACCCTCTCTTTTTCCACCTCACTTCCCTCCTTTAACGGTTCCTCATTTCCACCCTCAGCCGCCAACTCAGCCAGAACCTTCTCTTCCTCGCCGAACTCCCGTCGTCCGACTTCCTCGTCCCCTTTCTCCCTCACATGATGCGCCACCTCAGCAGTCTTCCCATCCGCACTCTTCTTATCCTTCTTAATCATACTCCACCCGCCTCTCCACCCCACCCATTTCTTCTCCCATGGGCCTCTTACACACATGGTCAACACCGCACACCCAATAAACCCCACACTCGCACTTCCAGACGCAATCCATCCGCCCCTCGCATAAATGTGACTCCCGGCCGCCGTCCCCATCAACTGGCCACAGAACGTAAACACCATAAACGCAGTATTCACCCCGTTTCTCCGCTTCGGCTCAATAGCGTATATAGCAGACCTATTCGCAATCTGCGCAGTCTGCATTCCGAAGTCCAGCAGCGCAGCTTGGAGGATGGGACCACTGATATTGAAACGCCCAATGTAAGTCCCAAAACAGATGCCCGCGAGACAGAGCGCCTCGCCAGCGAGGACGGACAAGTGCGGAACAAAGCGATCAGTTACGAGACGTGCGTATAGCGGGCCGAAACACATTGCCGCGATGCCTATCAAGCCAAATAGGCCTACGGTCAAGGGGTCATAGCGGTAGGGTGGTCCGGCGAGGAGGAAGGTAAGCGTAGTCCAGAAACAGGTGAATGTGGAGGATGTGAAAAACCCTGTTACACATGCCTGCACCAGTACGGGGTGTTTGGTCAACATAACCAAAATACTCCACAGTAGTTGGAAATAGTTCAGTCCTGTGGGATTTGTGGACGGATAGTCGGGCATGAAAAGCCAGAGCATCACGAATATGAGATATTGAAGACCGAGAGACATCCAGTAGACAGAGCGCCAGGTTACGAAGTTAGTCATTGTTCCTGAAAGGACGCGGGCAACGAGAATGCCGAGCATCAGGCCCGAGACCACGATTGAGAGCGCAGTTGCGCGGCGGTGTGGAGGAGCGAGGTCCCCGACCAAAGGGAGCATGAGTTGCGGGGTTACGGTTGTGATAGCAACGATGAAGGAGATAGCCGTGAAGACTGCTAAAGATTTGGTGATGCAGAGGCCAAGCCTGTTTACTGGATCAGCGCTCAATTCTTCTCATACTGCATACTACCACTTAACATGGAACATGCCCGGGGGGTTGGTAATTCGGGCTAGGGAATTACATCTTTTTCACCATCTCCCTGGTTCTAGCAACATGTTTAGCAGGTATACTCTGCTCTGATCATGTCCTACAGTATGTGATTACATACTGTAAATCGAACCCCCATAATAGTGGATAGCGAAAGAATCCCCGACAGGAACCAGATAATGGCATAAGACAGAGGAAAGAAGAATATTCTGCTTACCACATCGTGGCCGTAAACAGCACCAACCCAATCACAAACGGCCTTCTTGGTAGTAGATCCCCTAATGGACACAAAAACAGCAGTCCTGCCGCATAACCAGCCTGCATCACCGTCGGAATCTGTGCCACTTTTTCATACTTGACTCCAAAGTCCTGTGCCAAGATATTCAAGATCGGATGACTGTAGTACAAATTCGCTACTGTAAACCCTGCAGCGAAGGCGAAAAGGATGTTCATAGATATGGAGAATTGTGGTGGCTTGTCCGGGTCCCAACGACATCTTGGAGGAACCCACGTTAGTATGTTGTAGACTTTGCGCCATATTGATATGGAAGTCTGAGGCGTGGTTAGAGACGTTGATTGAGGTATGAATGCGTTCGACGCCGAGGCTGGAGGGAGAGGGTTGGTCTGTGCGTCGTTCTTATCGTTCCGTGACATCATGTTAAGCACAGGACCCAATAGCGTCATGGGAAACAGGAACAACACATCGATTGCAGAAAATGAAAATGAGGGTTAAGAATAAAGCCGAGGAGTTTTCAGGAAAGGAAAAGGATAAGAAATTGGAGCGAACAGCGAACAGCGGCAAAGTCGTTCTCCCTTTTGGAGCCGTGTGCCGATATCCGCTCGTCGGTCGTGCCCCCATCTTACCAATCATCTCCGACACCAACTCGCGGAAAATGACCCGAACATCGGCGTGTGGGAAATACGATATTCCCGGTGAATCGCCTTGAGAGTGACGTGCACGATGTACCTACCAGGCTCATATGTTCTTTGTATCTGTTCTTCGTTGTAGAGTGTTAAGCGATAAATGGACGGTCTGGAAGATCACCGCCAACCTAAGTACACAGGGTGCTGGAGAATGGGTCAAAGACATAGAACCGTGAATGCCGCCGCGATGAAACCAAAGCAAAAACATAAGCCGAAGCTCCAGATATCGAAGATGCAGAGGGCCCAATCTTTTCCCAACGCCTCGCCAAGCATACTCAGAAATCAAAATTAAAGAACCTTTATGATGGGCTTGCCGCGGCGCTTCTAATTGGTACTTTCTGTCCTCTCATTACCGTTTGAATCTGCTCATCTGAGGGCATTTGGGGGAGGGGAATAAGCCAAGACCTCTGTTTGTCAAAACTTGACACAGCTTTAACTAGCCGAATGAATAGCTGAGTGTTCGTCTTGTCAACTCGATCCTTGAAAATATTGATAAGACCTTGAATGGTCATACCATCCGCAGGGAGTGCTTTATATATTTCAGCGGCAGAGGGGAGACGAGTGTCTGTTTTCACTTCTGTTAGCAACTTTCCCCACATTGTGTCTAATGTAATCGAGGTAAGCTTACGCGAAGGCTGAGGAAGTGTCTGGTTCGATGCAGCGGGACTACCAGCGCGGCTGCCGTTCACCTGAGAAGCCGCTGGGCTTCCCGCCCGACTGCCACCAGGGCTACCACTAGGCGAGGTCCCAACCTTGAGCTTGAGCTTTTGTTTCTTCTTCCTGCCAGCGTCGGTCATCTCGCTATCGCTGCCAGAAGCTGCCCCACGTTTCGACAGCTCATTGTTCGTAGACAGGTGGACAAGAGAAGTCTTGCGAGAACCATCTGCGTGCTTCTTCTTGTGCTTCTTGCGCGAGGATTCATTGCCGCTAGCTTCCGACAGGTTTGGTGATCCGGGTCGCTTCTTCTTGTTCATGTCAATCGGCTTGTGTGCGCCTGATGGAGTAGTCGTTCCCTTTGTCGATGTTCCTGACGCCAGCTTATCGCCTTCATTAGGCTTCCCATTTTGCTCTGCAGCTTTTCGTTCTTCCTCCTCCTTCGCTCGCTGTCGCTCGGTCTCCGAGTCGGTATCAGACTCGCTCGAAGACTCGTACGGATTTGAGTCGGAGGACTCGAAATCATAGTTTTTCTCCCGTTTCGTGAGAGCTTTCCGAATACTCTTCTCCAGCTTCTTCTGCATCTCTCGTTCTCTCTCCTCCTGCTCCTCCTGGCGGTAAACTTCTTCTTCGTTCCGCAATTCGAAGATTGAAGCCTGCAAGTGATCGCGCTTCAGCTTTTCGGCTGCGTCCTTGACATCGGCTTCATCACCTTCAAAAAGTCCGTTGAGACCCTCCTCGTCATCGGCAAAATCCTCTTCCGCATTGTAGTCAATGTCGTCCGCATCCGCTTCACGTTTGATGACGGGCATATCGTCATCTGGGCGTCGTCCTGTCGGCGCACCTTCATCGTCGGCACCGCCGCCTATGCGGGTCTTCATCCGAGGAGCACCTCTGCCTATCCGCTTCATTTCTTGCTGCTCTGCCTTAATGGTGTTTGCTTGTATACCACCTAGAATTCCAGACTGGTCCTTGAGATCCTCCTTCTTCCAAATTGCATCGACTTCGTCTGCCGTGTAACCCTTCACCTTGCCCTTAGCATTGAATCTATACCATCGCTCTAGTGGCACCATCTGAATGACATCGCGGCCGTTCACGAAGTCGGTCGTAAGCATGAGGTGGGCCTCGGAAAGCTCTGACTCGTATGTGCCCACCCACGTCTGTTTGTTCTCAAAATCCTCGAGGTGCCAAGGAAGAGTCTCTTCGTACCGCAGCAGGCGTCGCTTCTCTGCCTCTGGGGTGTCGTCTGGGCGGAACTTCTGCTCAGTCTTCTTCTGGAACGCTGGCGGCTTCTTCGTCGCGGAGGGAGCAATCTTAGCTTGATTCTCCTCCCGAATCTTTCGACGCTCCTCCTTTTGAATCTCGAGCCGCTCACGCTCCTTACTCTCCTCAAGGTCCTCCTTCGTGTCCTCTTCGATGAACTGCGTCCCGGCACCACTCGGGGGAGCACGGGGGTCGCGGCGGTGAAGGCGAATCGGCGGTGTGAATTGGTCGTGGTCCATGATTTCAACCTTGCCCTTGGACTGCTGGAGCCTCATAACGTGATGGCGAAGCTCCTTAAGATCACGCTTGGTAACGACCAATGGCAGGACCATGGCACCCTTTGCGAGATACTCTTGGCGGGCAGCCTCTAAAGGGACCTCGTCCTCCTTCTCCTTGGCAGCCGGGCCGACCTGCTTCCCTTGTTTCTCGTTCATCTGGGTCAGAGACATGATAGGCCGCGAGATCTGCTTGAGCGGCCGCTGCGCCGGGCGCATTGGGTCTGTCTGGGGCCGCCGACGGGGCCTCCGCATCGGTTGCCCATTTGGGCCTATTGGCGTATTCCCTGGGCGGAGGGCGGGAGATGCGCTCATGGAGGGTCGTTGGCCGTTCGCTGCGGGAGCGTGGGTAGGAGCTGGCGGGTGCCCGTTCATAGTGGTATGAAGGGCGCGAGTGCTGTCGCGTGGTGGGATTGTGGGTGGGTGGTTGGGGCCGAGAAGGTCGTGGACATGCAGGAAAAGAATGTGGGTGAAAGTTCGGGGGGATAAAGAATGGGCGCTGGGAGCGGGTTTGGGCTTTGTTGTGACAGTGAATGAATGAGCCGAGTTGGACGTCCTGTCCTTAGCGTCACAGCTCGTCGCCAAGCCACGCTAGGCAGCCTTGCACCTGACGGTGAAACGTTTTACCGAACTGGAGCAATCAGTACTTGAGCAATCGAACGCATTCCCCACCACTTGCAGTCGTTGTGTGTGCACTCAACAATTACCCTTGCACCGCTAGCCTGTGTACGTCCGTAAAGCGTTCGTGGGACTCTCCATCAGTGTTACCCCACCGCATCCGGTGCTCGATACCATCATCGACAGCGGAATTTTCCGCATCACAAGACCCCCCCACTTTGACGAGCAGAGGTCTCAATTTCCAAGTCTATGGTGGTCAAAGTTTGCTAGAGTTAGACCGCTCCCGCTATGGATAGAGAATCTGTGCCAAGTACGGCCAACTTAGAGGACCAGCTGCGGGATATGATTCTCGGCAACGCCACTGTCGCAGGAAGCCCCACTAACAACACAGCTTCCCACCGTGGTCGCCAGCAACAGAACCGCAGGTCTTTTCCTCGGGTAACGTCTCGGAATTCCCAGAACCAGGTCAATCAAAGGCTTGACACTCAAATTTCAGAGCCGACCTCTCCAGGTAAACCGAGAGGCAGGGGCGAGTTTGTCGGAGACAGAGGGCACACTGCATTCAATCCTCCCACTAAGTACCAGCCCAAACTGGAAATATCAGGCCAAAGCACGGCCACAGATGAAGCCCACAATCAGTCAACCGCTATCAGGAACCGCCGGCAGGCTCTGAATCCCAAAGGCCCATCACGCAATCGTCAATCTCATCAGATCTCGCAAGGTCTACCCCTATCCAGTGCTGTACAACTCGGCCCGACGATTCTCCAGCGGCCAGCAAACAAATCTAGCCCAAGAAACAGGCCTCGGGGATCTTTGATGACTCCAAATGACTCAAGGCAGGGTCGCTTTCATCCGCACTCCCAACAGATGAACCAGATTCCTGAGAATCCAATGGCCCAAGTTAACTACCTAGACCGTCTCGCCGCACAGGAAGTCCCGAAGTTTGAGATCACCATGGACGAGCTCGAAGAGAAGGAGACGTTCAGAACGCTGCTAGAGGACATTTGCAAGAAAGCTGTGGCTAGTGGCCACTCTGGAGATCTAGCTACCATCTCCTTAGTGGGCTTTGGCAGTCTTGCGTCAGGTTTTGCTACTCCTGGATCAGATATGGATCTTGCAATTGTCCCGACGTGGAAAAATCTAACAACCTCGGTTTCGCAAATTGACATAGAGATTCCTCGGCTGTTGGAAAAGGCTATTCTAGACAGTAACATGGGGGCGCGTTTACTCACAAAAACCCGAGTGCCCATCCTGAAAGTGTGCCAAAAGCCAACTGAAGAGCTGTACAAAGCTCTCATCGAAGAGCGGGAGAAATGGTATCAGCTTCCCGACGAGGAGAAGTATGCAAACCCAGAACCAACTCAAGAAACCAGACCGACCGTGAAGCCATTAATCGAAGTAGATGGAGACAAGTCTCCTCAACTGAAGCAGCGTCAAGACAACAATGGGGGAACTAAATTTATTGGTAATCTCAAGATTGATGCGGTCACTTCAAACGAAGCCCAAACCAACAACCCTAAACTAGCTAGCTTCAACAAAGACACCCCACCCACGGCGACCACGACATCACCAGAAACAAATAACGAAAACAAAGACCAAAGGCATCGCCCAGAGAGACCTTGGGTTCGCGAAAAAGTACTCGGCCCTCTCGACTTCCCAAAAACTGGCGTCGGAATACAATGCGATATCAATTTCTCAAACCCTCTCGGTCTACACAACACTCATCTTCTCCGTTGCTATTCTCTCTGCGACCCCCGCGTACGTCCCATGGTTCTCTTCATCAAATCCTGGGCGAAACGCCGCAAGATAAATAGTAGCTACTCTGGTACACTCTCAAGCTACGGCTGGGTGCTCATGGTGCTTCACTACCTTGTCAATGTCGCCTCTCCACCAGTTTGCCCTAATCTCCAACTTCTGTGGCGTCCACCAGCCAATCTCAACATGGCCCAACTCGAGCAGCTTATGCAAGAATCTACAATCTCAGGCTGGACTGTCCGCTTCTGGCGCAACGAGGCCGAAATCATGCAAGCAGCACGTGCAGGTCAACTTGGGCAGAACCAATCTACGCTAGGTAACCTTCTTCGAGGCTTCTTCCAGTACTATGCTGTCTCCTCTCAGGGTCACGTATATGGTCCTCGCCCACCCTCATTCTCCTGGACTACCGAAGTGTTATCCCTACGTACGCCGGGTGGAATACGGTATAAATCGGAGAAAGGCTGGACGGGTGCTAGGACGACTATAATGGCGGGCAAAGAAATTAGGCACAGGTACCTCTTCGCGATTGAGGATCCATTCGAACTGGATCACAATGTAGCAAGAACAGTCACGCATAACGGAATTGTGGCTATCCGGGATGAGTTTAGGAGAGCGTGGAGAATCCTGAGTATGGTTGGGAAGGATATGGAGCCTGAAGGTGGATTGTTCGATGAGGTTGTGGAGAAGATTCCACCTCCGTCTCCTGACCCGAAGATCATGGAGCAAAAGGTGGAAAATATGGACAACGTTGCGATTTACACCAATGGCGATGAAAACGAGCAACGTGGCAAGCCGCAGAAGGTGGCGGATGGTAGTGTGTAGGAAGACCAACCCGGAATGGAAGTGGAATCGCACTCAGTTTGCGGCATCACATGGCATCAGTCGGCGTCTTCGGGGATGACAAAGTCAGGGAGGCTCTTTTGTGTAACAGTAGGCGTTCATGGACATGAGCGTGGGTCTAAATCGGCGCGAAACGGATCAGGCGGACATCGGCAGATCTAGTTCAGGATGGTCTGATCTCCGCGGTTTTCTTTCTGGGACTATCAATCCCCTGGCTTTGGTTCTGGGTTCTGGGTTCCTGGAATTGGGACTTGTGTGTACAGATACTTGGTAGGGCTTGCTATTATCGGTCTAGCTTGTGGGTTATATGCAATATCACGGTAGTCTATGCATTGGTGAAATGACGATTTCTCAGACTGGATGCGAACTCTACTACGCCGTATTAGTACATATCATAGAGCATACTACACAGTCTAACAACGCAAAATTCCCCACCCTTGTACCACCTTTCCTCGTTCTACCGAGAAGCTCAGCGCTTCAAAACATCCCCATTCATGTTGTAAAGTAGGCACTTACACACAGTCCCACACGTCTCAGTTTCCTGTGCGCACGATCCCAAAACCTACACAATCTTCTTGTCCCCACCCCAATCCCTCTGCTAGAACCAACTTTAGATCTCCAAAGTCCGATCCAGAGAAGTCCAGTGGAGATGGTCTACAAAGTAAAAACTTCCATTGAGCTATGAAGCTACGAAGGAGTGTAGAGAGAGAGACTGGCTTTATAAAGTCCATCCAAGAGTGAAAACACCGGGTATTCCGCTATCCGTACTTCCATGTAGCTGTCTGTCGACACAGAAAATCTTCAAAGCTATCCATGCTTTCGTCGATGATGCACGCACTCCTTCCTATCTTCTACATCGAGCACGCATGATGTAGAAGCTCCAATGATGAAATACCGCCCGCCCTCCCGCTAGCTATGCACTTGTACACCGATAATCTCAACGCCAGTTTGTTTAGAGCATGTGAAGAGGATGATTGCTGAAGATCTAGGTAGTCTTCGCCTCAACGACCTCCTCATGGGTAGTCGTGTCCCCAAGACCATGCTTGATCTTGACCTCGCCCTTCTCAATATCTATTGCCAACTTGTCGAGACGAGATCCCTTAGGCACAGGCTTCCAAGCTGGACGACCGGAGTCAAAAACGTCGTCCATTTCCTCGAGTGTCTTGCCCTTGGTCTCTGGTGCGGTCAGGAACATGTGGATGAATGCCAAACCGTTGAAAGTAGCGAAGATCTGTTCGATAATCAGCTTTCGATTGAATTTGTGGAGAGCGGGAAACACACCATATACATCTTCCAGTTGATCTTCCACAGAAGCGGTGGAACCGCGAAGGCGAGCGCGCAGTTCCAGGTCCAGTTTGAAGCGGTAGCGAGAGAGACAGCTTTGGCGCGAACTTTGGCCGGGAAGATCTCAGACGGGTAGGTCCAGGAGGTTGGGCCCCAGGTTGTAGCGAATGTAGCCACGAAGAGGTAGGAACAGGCCACAATTCCCTTAGATGCTGACGGGTGACCGTGGATGACCCAAGAGATATCCTTGTCTTCGGGATTAGGGTTGTGGATGCCATAAGACGCCTGGATTGCGCCGGAGATGAACAAGAAGGACATCATTCCGAAGGAGCCAATCAGCATGGAGGGTCTGCGCCCAAAGCGATCGAGCCATAAAATAGCCGGAAGGGTGAGGGTGACGTTGATAATGTACTGGATGGATGACGTGAGGAGTTCGTCGGCAATTCCAGCGCCCTTCATGATATATACAATATAGTCTTCGAAATATCAGCTAAGAGTTCAATTGAGGAGGGCAGAGGTGAGGGAAAGAGGGAGCCGGACTGAAAACCTAGGTGAACGGATCGCCACCTAAGCAGGGAAAGCATCACGGAAAACACAACGGAAAAGGAAGTAGACTACTCACACATCATAATATTCATACCGCACAACTGAGACCACATCTGGATTGACATTCCCAAGATGACACGCTTGAGGATGCGAGGTTCGACAAGAGCAGCGTAGCTATTCACAGCCTGTTCGCGCTCGAATTGCAAAGCCTCCTCGATCTCCTTGTACTCAGCGAGTACTTTTGGATGATTGACGTCGCCGCCACCGTGGAGATGAGCGAGTGTCTGGATAGCCTCGTCCCAACGGTCCTTGCTGGCGAGCCAACGTGGGGAGTATGGGAAGAAGAACATTCCGACGAAAAGGATGAAGGCAGGGACCATCTGAATACCCCACGGGATACGGAAAGCGGCAGTTCCTTGATCCGGAGCCTTGGGTCCGCCGTCGACGAAGGATGCACCGTATTGGATGAAGTACTGGATCAGGATTCCCCTAGTCATGTGTTAGTTTGGATTCTTGCGGAGAAGCACGTGGCAGCGCGTGGAAGTCACGCGAAGCCCCGTGGGGTGCTAGCGGCTGCCATAACATACCAGGTAATGGCCCATTGCTGGAGAGAAACCACACGGCCACGGATCTCCTTTGGGGCAATTTCTGCTTGGTAGACGGGGACAATTGACGAGGCTATACCGACACAAAGCCCGGCGATGACACGGCCGACGCAGAGAAGAGCTACGCCGTTGGAAGCGGTTTGAAGACTGTCCGGGGTTAACTCAATTCGATTCAGCTGGAGTGGGAAGAGTGGGAGGACATACATCGCGCCAATGATCCAGATAATCGATGCGACTTGGATGGCAGTGCGACGGGAGAGCTTGTCGGCGATGTATGAGGAACTGAGTGCACCGACCAAAGAACCTGCCGGCATGGACGCGGTAATCCCACCCTGGCGGTATCCAGTGGCTTCAATTTGTTAGCTAGGCAATGGGTAAGGGGGGTGGTAGGTATTACGATTCCCAAAGTAGTTCTTGTATCCATTCGTGCCTAGGACGCCACTCATAGAGCTGATATCGAAGCCAAAAAGCCCGCCGCCAATGGCGGCGAAAGAGCAGATGAGGTAGATGTTGTAGAACGTCTGCCATTGTCAGACAAGCGACCTAGATATTGTGGTGTTGACCTGGGATAGCTCACCTTCATCTTGAGATTGTTACCATAGATTGAGAAAGGGTCGGAAACAATCTGTGGTGGAGGGTAGAGGAGGAAAGAGAAGGTCTTAGACTTGGGGTCGGAGGTATTTTAATGGCGGGGTTGCTCTGCGCGTGATTCTTTTGCGTGTGGTCTCGTGGGCCGAGCTTTTGGGGGTTCACCGTGCCTCTCCATCTGCGACCAGTCACCACATCAGGCGTTTGCAAGTGATTTCCATTAGCGTTACGCAGACCAAAGACTCCCACAAATAAGCGTTCTCGCCAGGACGGCAAGCATGCCGGAAACTAGCAAAACCCTGGGGAAACACAAGGGTGTTAGAGTCCGATATTGACCTGCATGTGGCGTCCTCTAATGATAATAACCTTGCTCCAGGATCCTTGCCTATTTCCTGATTGTTGGCACCCAAACACAACGCTGCCACCAACTACGGGTAGTACTCGAACGACAGTTGGGCACTGAGAGCTGGGACTATGCAGTGAAACCACCAACTCGTGCACGATGGGTTCGTGTCCATGGAAGAGGAAGGTCAATCGGCGAGGGCGGAGGCATGATCATCGCAGGACGCCTGAATGAATCCATTCGAACGCCCTTACCTCCATCCTCAATCTAGAGGGTCTAGCTAGAGCTAGTTGCTCATAGCGTTGAGTCAAATCAGACGACCACCCTCACAAAGCTCAGGCAAGGAGCTGTGCGGGCTCATGTCACCGTTGCAAGACAGGAGTTCCTAAGACAAGATTCCCCCGCTCCAGGCTTTGCTTCCCGCAGCCCGGGGGGTGGCAGCCTGGGCATTTGGTTGCTGGGCACCTGTTTCTCGGTGCCAGGATGGCGATCGTTTCTCGGCCAGGACCCGACTGAAGGAGACTTACAATATATTAGCTCCAATGGGCTCACCAATTCAAGACTTCTCGAAACAATCCGTGCGATCCTGCACAGCGGCACCGCCGTCAGGCATGGTGGAAGCTGGCTTTTCTGTGTCACGCTTCTGGAGGAGATGTTGGTTTAGAGAGTTGGGCGATCGACATCTGAGCGCCACATTGCAACCGTTGCCGGCTAATTTCCTGAATCCAGATTAGGGGCGTTTTTGGCTTAACGCCATCCGCTGCCACCAGTCTTTCCCCTCCCTTTGCTTCGCTCTCGCTCTCGCTCATTACACACGTTTTCAAGCGCTCGCGGCTAGGCTTGGGAAATGCTCCGTCCGTGGAGAGATCTGTCCCAAGCGACAAAGCGTATCGAGAGCTCGTCTAGGAAACGCAACCGCGTGCGGAAAGCCTCCAGAGGCTTCACTCCTATAAAAGGCTACTCCTTTTGCAAGATTTTCAATAGAACGAGCAATAGCAGCAGCCTGGAAATCTTGCGCCGAGTCACGAAATTCGCAGCTTTGGTCAAAAGTATCATGGGCATGATTTCCGCCTTGCTGGAACCGCAACGTTGTTCACGAGGCCTTCCACATCCTTCAGGCAAATTTACAACAGACTCGTATCTCGGATTGGCCACTGAAGAGCGGGGCAAACATAACGAGATCAGATAGTGCGCCGAATCCCTCTCCCACCTGGGTTGACAGAATGCACGCCCTTTCATTTATGTCTTACTTGCTAGGTGCACAAAGTACACTGTATATTGACACAGATAGAGAACACGACAGATCCTGATTTAAGATCGTTGTCTTTATCCTCTCGACGGTTTTCTTAACTCTAGGATCTTGTTTACAGGATTAATCTCGCTCTAAGAATTGTTCCGTAGCAAACAACGAATTTCAAACAAAAAGGTAATTTCCACGAACAGCTATCCCCCAACAGTAACAACAACGACGACAACTGTGCGGCGTCTCGGATGTTTCCGGGCAAACGACACGACAGAATTCCTCGGGGATTCTCTTTGAAATCGCAGGCGCCTGTGTCTCGACACTCTTTACACTCTTTACATGGCATCACATCAGATGCCGTGAACACTCTCAGAGTTAGAGGACGCCACGACGAACAAGCAAAACGGAGTGTAACCTCCGATCTCGATCGAGTTCGTAAGGAGAGAATTCGGCACAGAATGACACCGAGTAGAAGCCAAAACACGAGTCTTTCCGAGTTTCTAGAAAAAGGCGGCAGTATCGGGTGAGGGGCATTTCCTAGCCTCCTGTGGGGTGATGTCTGAAAACACTTGGCCGCGCACCTTGCCGCCGCAACACCCTATCGGCATGTCTCAGGCCCTTCAAACACATTCTTCGTCCCTTTCTCCATCAAGGGCCAGGACTAGGGATCGGGCGATGTTATTATTTTGACTCGCTCGGCACCTTACGAGAAATCAAAGTTTTTGGGTCCTGGGGGGACTGTATAGTGGATAGGAGAGCAGGATGCCTGCGCCTTGCCTTCACCTCGGCTTCCCTTCACTGTCAACCCCCATTCCCAACCAAGCTCTTCTAGCCTCACCCAGCATCATCTACCAAATGTTTCCATCCCTTTTCTCTGCATGTCGCCTCATCCACAACCCGCTACACATTCCCCCTCCCTCCACCACTCTGTTCCTTCCCTTCCATCTCCATCGTCCCATTCGCCGCCCCCGGAACCAAGCGACCCAATCACAGCGCGCATGCCAAACTAGCCAGCATCCCTTTCCCAAACACCGTCCCAATAACATCATTTATCACATATAGCTCCACTTTCCCAATACCTCCTCATCCTCAATCATCACCGAAAGCGCAAAACTCAGCTCAGCTACAGAGGTGCTCTTTACCGAGAGCGGGTTTCGCACATGTTTCTTGTCGAACATCACAGATGTGCTTGCACAATGCGGAGCGGTGATTGGAGGACACGGCGATACAGGAGGGAGGCTGCGATCTTGCATGCAAAGAGGGAGGGGAGGCCTGCTGACGGTGGCAGCTGAGCTACTTTCGCTGCTGTGGCTACTTTGTTCTGGAAGTTATCTCCCATCGTGAGGGTACATAATTACACCTATTTGCGTGGTGTTTTCTATCACTGTCTCTCAACTTTCACTCCGTCTTACTTTGCACTGAGTTGCGCTGTCAGACTGTTCTTACGTCGTCGCTGTCTTAAGCTTACTGTCGCCACCCGCTCAGCAGTACGTACCCTCCCGTCTTGTGGAACCAACCAAGAGGATTGCGCAATCTGTCTGCTTCCGTCTCGTTACCGGATTGCCGTCACCATCTAGCCGTTTGCTCTCCGAAGAAAACTCTCAGAACCGCACGCTTGATTTAAGTTTGATTCGGGCGAGGCTTGGGCAGCGCTAGGATTTATAGTTCCAAAAGGGGAAAGAAGACGATTTCAGCAGATGCGGACACGGACTCAGCAATCAACCTGGCCTTGGAAATACATTATCGAGAGCAAGCGGTGAGATACACCGTTAAGTAAGACAGGCCACTTGCGGAGATACGATTGCGCGAACAAAAGACGACGGGCCCAAAAATACATCCAGCAATCAAGTTTCGACCACGTCATCCTCGATGAGAGAACATCTGAAAACAACTCCAAAGGCGACGCTTTCGCCCTAACCCGCCTGCTCTTTTTCACCCCATCCCGGGCCCTAGGGAGTTTATTCCAGCTTCCACGCGAACACCGACTTCGATACCACTGCCACTGCCACGGTTCACCTACTTCACTTGATCTTTCCAAAGCCTGCACACCGAGCAACCCGACTCCTTTCACTACCTGCAGTTCCCCCGGATCATCCACTGCAAAATGCCCCACGGCATCACGAACAGTGTCTTCGTCCGCACAACGCTTACAACCTGCGACGTCTTCATCCTAGCGCTCGGCTTGCTGGACCCAAAAGCCATGGTCTCGCCTGAACAGTTGATAGAAAGCGCGACGCCGTGGTTCATTGACGCCGAGACGATGTGGTGGCGGAAGTTTGGTATGGGGTGGTGAGTGGAAGATGTTTGGCTGTGGGTTCAGATGAATCGTGTAAATGAAGCTGGTCTAGAAGAAAGGAGCTAGTGCGAGATTCAGTCGGGCTCAAGATTGTGGAGTTGCATAGCAGAGCAGAGCATCCATGGATGACGGTGGCACAGAGAGACCCTCTAGGGGATTGTGGATGTTGCGGGAGTGGATATACCCAGATATCCGTCTCCATCCACCTGCATCCGAAAGAGGAAATCGCAACACTCGCAGGTATTGGTGGACCCGATCCGATCTAGCACACGCGCTCAGCTATCAGATGAAGTTGGAACAAATCACACCACTCATACTACGCAAACCTTATCGCGAAAGCTCCACATGCAGATACACCAATGCACAAGATACACGCGTTGGTCCCGCAGAGGGCTTCAGTTGTGGGAAGCAGTTAGAGATAAAGAGGGGATGAGGGATTTAATGGCCATTGACACAAGCTTTAGCATGGAACATCAACAGGGAGGAGCTTGTCTCATGGAACCTGCCGCTAGATGAAGTAGGAGGCCAAGGGGATGTAGAATTCTGTGCTAAATCGCCCTGCCTTGTTCTAGCCCACATGCCCGGAGTATTTCGGTCGAGACAACAATTGAGAACAGGGAGCGTTGAGTTATTTCTCCGCTTCTGCGGGAGCTCAGACGAAGATGAGTATTGATGCCGAGCAACGGACGGACGTACGAAAAGAGGAGAAGACGCTTCATGGAACGTGATACCGTCACCAATAGGACAAGATTAGACACAACATCCAGCACAGTCGCAGCGCTTCTACAAAGACTCCAGACCGGAAAAGGAGGTATGAACGAGGCAAAGATTCCCCTAGATAGATACGTATGTAGTAGAGCAGGAAGTCTTTCTAGGCTAGTTTAGCTGATGTTGATCGTACACTGTATGTCGAGTGAGCTCATGTTGAACTCGGCCCTTTGGTCTTGCTTTGCCATTACCGAGCAATATAATATGAAAAGCATGATTCGGGGCCTTTAATTGCCAAAAAGCGCCCAACGCCCCCTTCAGCCTAAGGGGCACGTAGACCTTATCCATCCTTGATGCAACCCCAAACTCCGAAAGCCGCATCGCCAGGGAAGAAGAGAGAGATGGTGCAGGACGATCAGGTAGCGGCAGAGACAGCGCCATCGCCCAGCATCCTCGCGACCAGGATGTAGGTGAATAGGGTGCCGAAGACGATCCTCCACTTGTTGCGACTCAACCAACTCTGACCGACGTCTCTTGCAACCTGACCACCCTGCACCACAGCACCAACGCCAGACGTTGCGCTTCCACCGGGTCGTCTCCTCAGCCCCGCGACTTCAGGCGAGCAGGGGCCATGTTGTGTGTGTGCCGGCATGGGCAGTCCCGTTTGCAGATTAATCTGCTTCTCCTTCATCCACCTGAGATTCTCCTCATCGAGCTCCGGCCACTCCTGTCGGAACTTTGCCCCACCATCGCCGGCTTTAATCGCGCCGATACCGCGGGAATTTGAGTTCTGCAACAACGAAGACTGCTTGGAGCCGCCGCCCGTGCTGTTCCACCATCTCGTACGCTGGGCGAACAATTTCCGCTCGTGCTCGCTCGCCCGCACACTCCCTGTCGTCATCTCCTCGCTCGTCATAAAACTCAGCAACCCCGTTAGTATCGTGCTGACCTCCCACGCAGGATTGAAGCTCTTGGGGTGGAAGTCCGAGATGCTGAGACACAGGCGCGTGGAGGGTTGGAAGCGGCCGCTAGGGGTGTGCATGCGGATAGCGGGCGGCGCAAAGGGGTAGTCGGGCGGAAACATCAGCGTCCCCCAGTACTGGCCGCCGTCGTAAGGGGTGTCGGGTGGGCCGGTGAGGATGTAATGCCATTCTAGGATGTTCTTTTCGGAGGGGTGGGCGATGATGTAGGGTGGGGGTGATTTGGAGATGGTGGCGTATTCTTTGGTGAGGCGCTTTGTCGCGGCGGGTGTTGCCATGACTGTGGGTGTGGTGGTGGTGATGGTGGTGTGGTTTTAGGGAGGAAGGGTGGTGACAGGTCTGTTGCGAAAAGTAGAGGAGAGAGAGGAGAGTCGGGCGAGGGTGATGGGAGAAGGATAGGAAGAGGACGGAAGGTCAGTGTTGCGCAGTGTATTTACGAGAGACAAGTGGATTAGCCTTATCGGTTAGTAGGACTGGTGTTTGCGGAAGTCGCGAACACAGTTTCAGTGAATGGTTGGGGTCATGTGTGGTGCCGCTGAGGTTTGAGGCGAATCTTGGAAAGCCCGACGCAGGTGCACAATCATCCAGGGTCAGTACCTGAGCACGTGACTATATCGGAATCTTGTTTCGCTCGTCCTTGGCACTAACCTTGACCGAGACACCAGCAGCTCCAATGGCTTCACCTTTAGAAGACGATGTACGAATCAGACCTTCTGCATCCAGGAGAGACATGCTAATATTATCCCTAGGTCTTCGAAAGGCTGAAGCAAAAGGTGGACCCGGCGGAGCAGACCAAGCAACAAGAAGAGCTCAATGCGCGGTTATTCACCCAGCACAAGAAGGCGCAGGAGAGACTGGTGGAATTGGTAGGCAGTCCCTCGCCGATCAGCGTGATTCCTATAGAATTAATTGGTGTCGTAGATTGACGAAAACACCTCCCTGCCCGTTTCCATATCCTCGGTCCGCATTCTCCATGCTAATAGAACGAGACGAACCTTCCTCGAGCGGATAGTCGACCCTCTTCTGAGTTCCAATCGCAATGAACCATACACGTTAGCAGAGGCGTTGAATGAGATTGGCGGAGCTACCAACAAACTTAATCGCTTTGGTGAGCAGCACAAGTGCGGAGGAGCGGAACTCTTGGCTGACGGCGGATAGGCATCTTCAAGTCCCCCATATCGGTCTTCATCGACAGGCCGGACCCTTCAAACCCCTCTACTACGCCTACTGATATCGATGTCTACCTGTCGGCCTTTGAGCGCGGCACATACACCATCAAGACGGGAACAGAGGCGGGGCACTCGGAAGCGGACGCATACATCAACGCAGAACTGCGCAATGTCTTCGGTGGGGCGGAGACGCTCAATGCCCATGCCTCGTTAGGAACACGCACGAGATCTGCCTACTCGCTTGCCTTCGACACTCCGATACTCAGCAACCCAGACTTCAAGTTCCAAGTCAATGGCTTCGCGAGCTCGACACTGAAGAGCTGGGCAAGCCATGAGGAAGCGCTGAAGGGCGGCAACTCTAAGCTCACATGGCTGTCCGAAACAGGGCACAAGCATGAGGTCGGGTACTCAGGCATATGGCGACAAGTCACCAGTCTCGCGGAGAACGCGTCCCCAACCGTGCGAGCAGATGCGGGAGACTCTTTTAAGTCAAGCATAACGCACACTTGGGTGAACGACCGGCGCGACTACCCCATGCTCCCTAACCGAGGCTATCTCATTAAGACCGTCTCTGAGCTTGCCGGCTTCGGTCCCCTTAAGGGCGACGTCGCGTTCTGGAAATCAGAAGCCGAGTCCCAAGTCGCGCTGCCATTCGGCGATACTGGCATTACCTTGACCGCTGGTCTGAGGGGTGGCTTGCTATACCCTCTTGCCCTGAGAGGTAGCAGCACGCCCGAGCAATCCCGAATCAGCGACCGCTTCCAGCTTGGCGGATCCACAGACGTGCGAGGTTTCCGACTCTCGGGCCTCGGTCCGCATGATGGGCCAGATGCCGTCGGTGGCGATGTATATGCAGCAGGAGGCGCCAGCATCCTCTTCCCCCTCCCAAAAGTCGGGAAAGACACACCTCTCCGCCTACAAGCCTTCGTTAATGGTGGACGCCTTCTATCGCTCAAAGGCCGCGACAAAGAAGGAAAGATGGACAGTGGAGCCGTGTCTAGCAATATGAAGAGAACACTTTCATCCCTCAAAGACGGCCTCCCCAGCTGCGCAGCTGGCTTTGGCCTCGTCTACGCCCATCCAATCGCGAGATTCGAGGTCAACTTCTCTCTTCCCCTCGTGATGCGCGCGGCGGAGGCCGGAAGGAAAGGCCTATCGTTCGGCGTGGGTGTCGAGTTCTTGTAGCAATGTGTAGATATAGAGAGTGTAACAGTATCATATCATATTCTAGCAATAGCAAGTCTCATGTTCGCATCAATCCCTAACAGGATTTCCTTTCTCAGTACGTTTCGCGTCACAGGGCCGTTTGCTATCGGCCTCCGGTTTCTACACTCCGCGGGAATTTTACACCATAGCAACCCCTCTCACTCTTAGCAGCGACTTTGCGATATTAGATTTAGCATATTATGGAGTGCCGCCGGAAGATAAAAACTGTTGAAGCTCTTGCTTCGCTAGCCACATCCACCAGCCACAGCAATCACAAAAGCCTGGTGTTCCACACCAGTCCTCGGTCCAAAAACCCGGAAAAACTGAAGCTCGATATCTCAACAACGGCGCAATAGCTAGGTCCAGAATTTCTTAATTAGGATTTCTTACCTATTTAATAACCTTTAATAGATTTCAAAAATATGCCATCAAGTTCTTCTAGGGATATAGCAATTCGGTTTAAGATTTGGGGGCTAAAGACCGAAATCTCATATAAAAAGTAGGCTTAACACTTTGGAATTCTAGCAAAAGTCTGGAAGGAGACATAAAGGCATATCATGAAATTTTGGAATTAATCATTAAGCCGTTTTCGAAATATCTAGATTCAGTTTTTCCGGTTTTTGGTGGGTTTTTGGGGTGGGCCGAGGGTTGGTGTGGGGTGGGGAGTCTGTCTTTAGCAAACACACACAAACCGTCCGCTACAACTCTATGCCATTGCGGGTTCCCTGCTAACGTTATTAAGACGTTCGTTGACTTCTTAGGATGTAAGTATATTCAGTTTAGTCACTTGCAAATTCGCCGTCCACTCATGTCTGACCACGGCAGGACAACCTCCCTGCCCCACACCCCACCCAAGCTGAGCCGCTTAACCCTCACAAATAGAAACTGCAACATTCGACTCACAGTGCTCTTACACTGTCTCGCTCCTAGATACGTCCCTTGAGTATGGCTTCGCAGCCTTTCTATCTGTATGCTTGCTAACCTCGATAGCTAGGACTGATATGCTTGATGAACGAGCGAGTTGCCCGACTCGTCTCTTGAGTTAGGCTGTTGCATTTAGACCTAGTCAAACTCATTCCTACCGCTCGCCCCTTGCCCAACCCTATGCCAAACAATAGGTCTTTTGCAATGGTCCAGTACTAGCGAGTGCAGCCTCACCAATGATCTGGTGGGTGATGAGGCAATCCCTCCGTATGCGATACTTTCGCACACATGGGGGCCTGGTGCTGACGAGGTTACTTTTGAAGACCTGACAAATGGCACTGGCAAGGGTAAGCCTGGCTACAAGAAGATCCACTTCCGTGGAGGACAAGCCAGACAAGATAGCCTACAATATTTTTAGATTAATACCTGTTGTATCAACAAAGAAAACAAATCAGAACTCTCACATGCTATCAACTCCATGTTTCGCTGGTACTGCAACGCGACTCGATGCTACGTCTATTTATCGGATGTGTCAATGACTTCTGTCATGACGAACAAAACAATTAAGTTGGCGAAATAGATGCCTTTGCCATTCAACTAGGCAAAAACAGTTCGAGTCAGCAATGAGAAGTACAATCCATTGCTATGGGAATTGGATTTCCGGAAAAGTAAATGGTTTCCTTGGGGTTGGACGCTTTAAGAGCTTCTGGGCCTAGTTTTGGTCAAATTCATCTCCTAAGAATCTAGGCAGCTTGGTGGCACATGTTTTCTTGAGCAACTAATTTATAAGATTAAAGTCATTCCTAAATTAGCACTCTAAGGGACTCCTTTATCTTAGTTTAGGGTTAAAGATTGATTTTAATGGATAGAAAGCTGCTAGACTAAGCTTAATGAAGACAAAGCGTACGTATTGATGGACATTTTCAATGTTGATATACCCCTTTATTATAGCGAAGGAATGGCGAGTGCGTTTAAAAGGCTTGAGGAGGAGATTGCTAAGGTGTTGATATATATTCAAGACTTACGCTTCTCTGACCCTAGTTATAACAAGAAACATATCAAAGAAACTAGGGGCAGACTACTAAAGGGCTTGTATTATTAGATTATCTAAACCTCTAATTTCCAACAATGGCGTAATAAATAGCAGAGTTAACTGCTATAGATTAAGGGTGACTCTAGTAAGGGCAAGACAATGCTTCTCTGCAGCATTATTAATAAATTAAAACCCTTAATAAAAGCTAAAACAGACTAGCTGTCTTACTTCTTTTGCTAAGCTACAGACTTGCGAATAAATAACGTAACAGCTGTTCTGCGCGGCCTGCTGTACTTGCTTGTTAATTAGCAGCTATCACTTGTCTCACATATACAGAAGAAGCACAGCTAAGCAGGCAAGACGCTTTTTAGGGATGCAAATGCCTAGGTTGCCTTATAAAAAAGATTTATAAATATCCTGCTAGACCTAAGTTTAAACAGGACTTACTTATAACGCGCTTAAAAAATGCGTAATATATTTGCTAAAACTGTTAGACTTTATTATGTAGAAGTTGTCTACATCTTCTTGCGTTAAATAGATTGTTAGTAGCTGTAATAAGGCCTATATTAAGCAGAGACTATGGCTTAATGATTCTAGAACTAGGCTAGGTCTTAAGCTTAAAGAAAACAACGCGAAAGTATCCTGCGTTGTTAATCTGTATATTAACTACTGCCTTTTGTAATTAACAGAAAGTTAACACAATACAGTACTCTAAGATTTACTAGGAGAAAATTTAATAAAAGGCTAATAGCACTTTTTGTAAATATGTGTGGCTCATTCCTTACAATACAAGAAGACAATGTCAATATTATCTATTAGTTAGCTAGAGATTTTCTACATGATGAAGCTGGCCAGGAGATCTTTCCGCACAGGACTGGAAAAACTTATCAGTCTATATTCTCTAGATCACTTCAGGTAATGTCTAGGGTGCTACAGCAAGACATGTATAGTTCACGCGCATTAGGATGTCAAACCAAGCAGATTAAACAGCTGGACCTAGACCCCCTAGCAGCTTACACTACTCTTGTATCTACTAGGTTAATCACCTCTATGACTAGAACCCTAGCTCTTCTGCAAATTATAAGGTCAACCTAGAGGATAGAGGTGCTGTTAACAATTTTCTACAACAGAAATACCTCTACTAGGGGGAGGCTCTTAGCCTTTACAAGGCATGTTAAAAGGAGTAGTATTATTAGCAAAACTTAAGGCTTTTATGCAGGTAGTCTACAAAGTTGTGATGCTACGTATAATATGTGCTAATGTAACATAGGGAAGGACAGATGCACCTGCATTAAATGAACTAGTTCAAGATGCGCGCCGATTTGTTATGTCTCACCAGTGGGCAATAGAAAAGAGCCCTCTTCAGGCATATATAGCCGCACTTATATTTAGCCTAACTTGTAGCCTAATAAGAGGTCTTTTTAAAGAAGAAGAGCTAGCCTAGATTATAATAAAGCCCACGATGCAAGATAAATAGAGCCGCTGCCTCTAGACGCTTACAGTCCATAGAAGCTGGGTCACCTTAGTAGTTTTCTCCTACAACTTAACACAACTAGCTTCAGGGTCACAGGACAACACTATTAAGATCTAGGATGCGAGCAGCGGCAAGTGCCTCTAGACACTTAAGGGCTATAGTAGCTCAGTCATCTCAGTAGCCTTCTCCCATGGCTTGACCCAGCTGGATTTAGGGTCGGGTGATGACACCGTCAAGATCTGGGATGTGAGCAGCGGCGAGTGCCTTCAGACTCTCAAGGGCTATAGAAGCTGGGTCACCCCAGTAGCCTTCTCCCACGACTTGACCCGGCCGGCTTCAGTGTCACAGGACAACACTGTTAGGATCTAGGATGCGAGCAGCGGCGAGTACCTCTAGACGCTTAAGGGCCATAGAAGCTGGGTCACCTCAGTAACCTTCTCCCACGACTTGAGCCGGCTGGTTTCAGGGTCATATGATGACACCGCCAAGATCTGGGGTGTGAGCAGCGGGGAGTGCCTCCAGACGCTCAATAGCCATAGCAGCTTAATCAGCTCAGAGCCTTCTCTCACGACTCCACCCGGCTGGCGCCGGGGTCGGGCGACGACACAGTCAGTCAAGGCTTAGGTTTGAGCCCAGATGGTGTATGAATAACATAGAATTCAGGGAACCTATTATGGCTACCCTCAGAGTATCGACCATCATGTTCAGTGGTATCTGAGAAAATTGGTATTGGAGTTGGAACTGGAAGGGTATGGATATGCAAGTTGAATTCACTTAATACATCCAACGGCCATAGGATATTTATATCATGATTACTTACTATAACGTTACTATATTTTTATTCTCTCTATTTCATGTATATATAGCAGGATTTAGAATATATAGACATCTAAGTAAATTGTTCCTTTCTTAGTAGCCCACTCCTTTTTAGAGACCATAAGAGGACCCTTCCATTTACGAGATATTATAGCCCACACCATGCTTCATGAGAATTGCTTAAATCTAGGGACACAGCACTTAGGCAGGCTCTTCTCCTCAGCCTTTCTTGTCATATAGACCTTGCTGTGGGCTATACTTATTAACATCTTGTTCCCCCTAGCCACAGGTATCCTATTACTTTTTGCTCTAGCTAAGGTGCTCCTAGGCCTATCTTAAGTGATCGTGCATGTTTTAAAGGGGTTTCTCAGTGTCTTTACAGTGGTGGTATAACTCCTTAAAGGCCTTAACTAGTGCACAGCAGCAAGTGTTAATACTATGCTTATAAGCAATCTCCTCCCTAGTTTTGCGTCTCTGTTCAGAGTTCTACGTTGCGTCGCGTATGAAGGTTTAGAGCGCCGTCGTGACTTTTGGGCGGTGCCATTGAGGCTTTGATGGCATTATAGTGTCCTAAGGCAGTTAGATATTGTAGGCTGAGGTATCCCTAGCCTGGCCGGAATCTCCTTCTGCGTTTGGCTATCCTCTCTGAGCGCCCATATTTAAACGCACTCTTTGTACGTAAACCAACAATTTGATGTTTTGGGCATTGTAAAAGTTTTAAACAGAATTCAGAACATCTCGGCGCTGGTAAAACGCTTAGAAAGTAGAGTAGAGCCTTCCACGCACGGCCCTCCCCCACCAAACGCGCTCCTCACCTGTTCATAATGTCCCCTTCGAGGGTGGTGAAATCCGGGAACAACCGAAATCGACAGACGTGCGAGACCCCAAAAGCATGCCAAGCAAGCGTGGAGATCAAACCCCGACCCCGCGTGGCGTCCTGCAGGAATGGCGATCTGGCGCAGCGCTGTGAATTGGGTTAAACCAATAATAGCCATTGATCGACACATTCCTTCTTCCTCCTATCACCTCCCTCTAGCTCTCTCGGGCTCTCTTGAACAATTTGATCGCTGTTTCAGGGCGACATCTTCTCTCCTCAAAACAATAGAAATCTCCTTTCAAAAGTGCATCTGATATTTGAATGGTCCCCTTTCCATCGGTCGACAGGGATTGTAAATGAAGTCATTGACCGGCATCAGCGAACCCTGGTTAGAACTGTTTCCTGATCGACAGGAGGTCGAGGCAAACAATATCGAAACAACGTCATCATTGGAGCAGGTATGGTCGGTGTACCACTGGTTGTGGCGCGCAAGCATCATGTGCTACGTGCCCTGGTACTGTTGCGTTACAAGTATAAAGGGATTCGTCCCGTCCTGGAGGCTGGGATTATTTATTTTTGACTTCCGATGTGCATATATAAACCTGTTGATCTTCTTACGAGGTATCATACCTTTTTAGAATATCGAGAATTGTATTTAGAAGGTTTACATACTTCAAAATTGCGTCAGAGTTCGATTATCCATAATGCGTTTCGCAAGCTTTAGCCTCCTGGCTTTCCTCTTCGCGTCGTTAACTACTGCTCTCCCAACCGAACTCACAAACTTTCTCCTCGTAACAACGAATCAATCAACTGCAACATCCAATTCCTCAACCCTACGAGCCGTATCCGCAACCTCATTATTCGTAAGCCAACCCTCCACATCTTTCCCACGTCCCTCCTCCCCACATCCTCTAACACTCACCCCAGGACCCATACTATCAACCAACCCTCTACCTTCGCCTCACCGGCCCCGGTTATGGTTCTCTCCCCAACTTTACCCTCACCTCCGGCACCCTACACACGACCACCTACGGGCCTCACGGTATCGGGGTCTACGAATACAACTCGACGACCGTGATAGCAGGCCAGCAACTAGGATTTCTAGCCGCGGAACAGCCAGCTGGTAATCTCGCGCTGGATGCGGGGTACCTCCTGACGGTTGGAGGGGAGAAGGAGGGCTGGATGATCTGTAAGGGCGATTTAGAGCAAGATGTGCTGTTTTGGAAGGGCTCGGGGACGACGTGTGTGAGGACGTTTGTACATGGTGTGAGGGATGCTCCGTATTAGACGGCACGGGGAAGAGTGGATAAATGAGGGTTGAGAGCCTAATGGGATCATGCATGAGATAGAAATGGTACAAGGTCACAGCACACGATTGCGATAGAGTGCGGTAATGCTATACTGGCATGTAATGCATAAAATGTAGATTGGAAACCATCATCCCAGTTTAAAAGCATGAGGGATGGAGAAAATAATGGTGAAATTGAGGTAAAGACTGTTCAGCTTTACTGCAGATCAAGGTTCGGGATAGGAAGAAAAGGATTAAAAGTAAGGAAGAGGTAATAATAAATGTCCAAACAGCTCCCATAACTTCTCTTGCCCCCTCCAACAGCTTCCACTACCCAGCATCAAACTCAGTCACTTGTAGAAAGAACTGGCCGAATTCGCATATCCATAAATCTACAATCAGTCAGCCTTGCACACTCTTCGGCTCCTAGGGGAGGGATGCAGCACTTACCTTGTACCACTCCGGAATGCCCAGCCAGCCTGAATCAGATCTCATTACACAACATCGTCCATCCCAACCGCGAGAAAGAAAGGGGGAATCATCTCACCAGGTTCTATCCACCTGACACCCCTCCCATGACAAGAATTCGACACCTAGTTCACCGCATCTACCCACTCAGATGGCTTATACGGGATCTTCGTATACAGACACATATATAACCACATTTCCCTAATAACTATAAATTAGATTGGTGAGCTTGGAGAGCTGTTTGTCATGGCAGGTGAATGAAACAGTGGTTTATAACTACTGGAATCTGAAGGAGAATATTTATGCAGCGTGGCACCGCTAATATGGGGACGAATAAACGTAGACTTTTGTAGTAGGTAACAAGTTCCACCCATAGATCATTGTATTGCTCGAGCATATACCTTGCCCAGACTCCACTTGGTACTTATCAGCCTCCCACAGATATACACCGTTTCATACAGCCTTCTGCAACATACAATCGTAGCTTCAAGATTACTTCTTCTAGCTGAAGCAGACCCGCGCCGTTCGGCATGAGAATTCACCTAGCAGAACCCACAAAGCCAACAATACAAAAAGGAAGGTAAAACCCTTTTCGACGACCTAGTCCAGTCAGTCAACCTGAACTGTCTGGTGACGGCTATAATTCTTTATTTGGTGGGATATGGCCTATTGCAGTCATGTATCGTGCGCTGAACAATTTTCTGTTCTACTACAGTTGTAGCAGCAGTAGAGACAAGCGGGGTGAAAACAGGGAGAGAGTGATGAATCTACCCAAAATGCACAGGTCAGTCACAATCACGAAGCTGACGTCCCAAGCTATTGGGTGTATAGGGATTGGGCTATTGAAGGGAGTTATGGAGGCGAAATTAGCAGTGTTAGTAGATTTGGGGCGAGAGCGGCGGTGGCGGTTTTAGAAGTGATAGTGGTAGCGGAGGAGGCAGTGGTGATGATGGTCGTAGAGGTTGCTGGGGAGGAGACAGCGGCTGCTAACAGGTGAAGAAGAAAGCTCGCAGCTTAGGAGGAGAAATCTCGAATGCTGGAAGACTCTGCATCGTGAACAGGCCTAATTGATTCTTCTCCGAAGGCTATCAGTCCAAGGGAGAGCATTGTGAAAGCTTGACTAGAGGCTTTGCTCGCCATTCGGGCTTGAGATGTGAATATCGTTTAGACGTAGTTTCGGGTCGAATTAAGGCTGTAAACCGATTTGAAGATAACCTCTCAAAGAAATGTCCCATAATGGTGGGCACGCGTCGTCGACTTCACTGCTCTATACATGTACGGGGATCGAACATGTCTATGCAGTGTAATCTAGAAACTTCAAATCAACAAATTTGGAGACCTTCTGCCTGCCGCTTTCTCAGTATTGAGCCTGTGCATGCTATGGCCATCGTGTGTTGCTGCTATTACTCTACTTTCCATTTCTCAGCACTGGCCTGACTTGGTAATTGTGCTGAAAAAGCTTCTTAGCAGCGTTTGATATCTCAGAGGACGTGAAAGGGCGCAACCCCCAGGGATAGTCTCAAGCCGGACAAAAACTTCTTTGTGTATCGTCTTTGGAGAAGGAAAAGGCACTGGGAGGAAACTCGTAGTTGATCGCTTATCGACATTGATTACTATATTTAGCAACACGTGGCTGTACTGCGCCATCGAGTCATACATATATCGAAGTTCGAACAAGCATCGAACCCAGACATCGAACCCAGGCATCTATGGGTATGAATTTATCCGGTATGGTGAGGCATAAAGAGTGAAAGGATGTGGGCAAGGGGTCTCTTAGCCAAAAGGCCTAAAAGCGTAGGTAAATTTGCGTTGGCATCTCTAATCCCCAAGCTCCAACAGATCTCCGCACCTACTTGGATTGCGCCAGATAGCCACAAACATCCTACCAACATACTCCTAGCCCTTTATCTGCTCTGCTATGTCCCCATAGACATCATTAAAGCTTACACCCTCCAAGTCGTTGATGTCCCAAAACACTAGTGGCCACCCTTTTGCAGCCCAACACATTGTCCCAACACCTCCGCACCCAACAATCGACAAGCCACCCACATTCTCAAGAAGCTCAACCATCTAAACCTTTACCGTGGCATTCACAGGCTGCACCGACTTGCTAAACGCGGCCGCTACAGTGCCAACCGGAAGAAAGATACCTATGCTAGTCAGAGAGTAACCACACCACCAGAGACCTCACATCTCGATCATAGTGGAAAAGGGAATAAGAAGTAAAATAACGTACCCCACTCTCCTTCAGCAGTAACCTGCTTATTCAAATTCAAAGTTGCTTCGTTCTCCTCAGCCTCAAACTCCAACTCCCCAAGGGACTCGTCGACAACGAAAGTACCGGTGACGTTGCATAATTTGCCCACTCGCGTTTGAGCAAGGTCGACGTTGGTGAGTGCAGGACCTATGGATTTTATTATGTTAGCGATAGGGCCTGAGTTCGAAAAAGTATTGTACAACTTGACCGGCTGATATGGTATGAAATTGGAAATGATAGGACACGCACTCGTGGGATCAAATATATAATCAATCTTCGACAGAGTCAACCCCGCACCTTTACTCTGCTTAAGAGCGACCTTAAACGAGCTTGGTTCCACTGCGACGAAGCCAGCCGGTGGCGGAGGAGGCGTTTTGTTCTCGGTCACGGTTAACTCATCGCCGGTGGGGGCTTGGAATTCGTATTCGAAGGCTCCAATGGCCTGCATGATGAGTTGAGTTAACTTGGAGCTGGATGTTTGGGAATGTAGGGAAGGGAGGAGGGGAATTACGCTTTTGGTGAACTCGGTGTCTTGCTTGATGTCGCCCTGGCTAGGTAAGCTGAAGGATCTATTACATGCGAGTGTTGGTAGAGGCTTACCCCTTGAAGCGTTGTGGGAGTGTCGAACTTTCCCTCGATTCTAACTTCATCTAGACTGTGTGAGTAGTTGTTCGACATGCTCGCACATCTCCTAGGGTCTACATACTTTCTCCTTCTCCTTCCTTCCCATCCCCTTCTACAGCAGCTCCACCAGTAGCAGACTCGGCAGCAGCTGGTGGTGTAGCTTTAGCCGTAGCATTGCTTGCTTCTTTCCCTCCCTTCCTGGCCTGATTGGCAAGCAAGGTAGCGCCCTCGATTTCATTCAGCTTTTCCAGTGCGGCAGCAATGTCAAAGCGCTGGACTAATCTCTGATTAGGCAACGCAAGGACGGAGCTAAGCTTGACAGCAAAGAGAATGAAAATGGTAAGGCGCATATTGGATATTGGAAGCAGTTGTAGATTCAATGGAACGAACGACAAATGCAGAGTGACTCGGCCGCAAGAAACGAACTAAGCAAAAAGGTGAAGAAGCAGATTGAACCAGCCAATCTAACAACAAAAAAAGATATCTACATTCTAGGGGGCCACCCACCCTCATTATCCCCTTTATACAAACCCTCCCCCTCTCACCTAGAATCTTGGCACTGCCCCCAAAAACGCCTTTCGCCCAAGGCCGCAAGAGTCCTACCCCCCAAAAACCCACTCAACTCCACCACCAAGACAATACCACAGTATCACTATGCCCAGTAGCGCCCGCCATTCTGCACTGTGCGGCCTTAGCCATCCACATCCGTTTGTCTCCATGTCACTTGGCTAAATACTCGACGCGGCCAAGTGATTGGGACTTGGCTAAACAGTGATGGGGCTTGTCATGCAGGCGTAGCATACCTCACCTAGAGAAGCGAATATCGTAAAGCGGAAAGATCATCACTTAGTTTTCTAGAGGACTTCCGGAATCCGGCACGGGCCCGGAGATTTCATGCTTTGACAGTGGTTTATTGTAGCAAACAACTATCCAAGCTTCTTGGCTTGGGCTTGGTAGGAGAGATGGTGTTGGATAGGGTAATGTGTCGCGTGCCTCATTGAAAGCGGGCTTGTTACAGTAGGAGAAGCGCCTACAGGGGAGGATGCTATTAGGTGTGCCTAGTATAGGAATCGAGTGTTGGTTTCGCGCCATGGAAGGAGTAAGCGTATGGAACCCTTTGGCACCAGAGAATAAAAAAAATTCCAACATTTGCTCCGCCTCCGAAATCTATGCGAACCAAATCAATGATAAAAGCAGCCAATCCCCTAAACCAACCCTTCTTAACAATCTACAGTGCACGCAAGCCATAAATGCCGTTCCCGTTCCCGAACCCACCCACCTCTCCACCTCATAATGCTATATGTCCGATTCGACAAGCCCTCGGAAACTGCCAAGAGAAACTATTTCCGTCAAGACATCCTGATGTGACAAGTTTGTGGATCCAATGGCAGGGTTGCGGGCTATGAAACACGACAAGCTCCTTATCCGATCCGCTGCTACAACCCAAAATACACAGCTTCGGGCTTGGTAATCCGGCAAATGGAGCGAGTTCTGTCTCGAATAGAAAGAAATACAAAAGATTTGCCTCAAGTTTGGGGTGTATTTATCTTCTGCGAGACATTCATAAAGGAATATATGAGGTGTGTTAGCGGGCGATCAACAACCTGTACTAAGTGACGGCTCCTCCCAGTATCTAAGAAATTTCCCGCAAGCCTGCCAATGAAATGGAACTATCTACTATCCTCAATCAAACCCTCTTCCCATTGTTGAGTGATTAGGCATGTTAAATTCACTTCTACTTAGAATGGTGACTTAGAGCAGCTAGTTGTATTCTTGTGGAAATACATGGTGCTCTTGATGCCGAAGTGCAGTTATACGTGCTTTCACTTATATAGACTCAGTAGTAAGCATACATTTGATAGTTATCTTGTACTTCCTAATTTCATCCAGGAGTTTCTTTGTCCTATATTCAATTTGAAGGGCCAAGCGAGGGAAACCAATGTTGCCTTGATCTTTCTTTTTCGACCTATTTCTGCCCGGTGTTAGGATAATTTCGGGAGGGAACAGCTCAATAGAATAAATATATTGTCTGAACCCCTAGATAACTCCACGCGAACTCATGAGGCTGCTGTCTATTTAGGACACTCCCTGGGCATGGGCATTGAGGAATTCCAAATCCTGAACGATTGTCTTTAGGGTTGATACCCCGAGTAGAATATCGCGGAGATCCGAGGGAACATTATTTAAGAATTCGATATAAAATCTGCAAAGGTTGGTGGCTTGGGCTGTGATTTTGTTGACAGTGATTATACTCGCTGCAATAGCATGCCCTCAGCTATGTGGCTGCTCGAGGAAACAGAGACGTATCGCGAATTGACAGTAAGGTTTTGCTGAAAATTAAATATTTAGGAAGATCTAGATGTTTGATGAAGTGCACTCTTAGCTTCTAATGTAGGAAGGAAGCTGGGAATGTGTCGAAGCCTTGCAAGCCGCATGGCTGACGCTCAAGCACCAAGCCAACGAGACCTACGGATCCGTAAGGCGACAGTCGGCCGTAGCTGAGTATAAGGTTCGTGAGGCCGAAATGAAAACTAGAACTCCCAGTTCCTTGAACTCAGAGGTCGAAATAGGTGAAATATAGGGAAGCTGAAAAGAAAAGTGACGTGATGTGTACTATCCAGAGGCTGAGAAAGAAAGCTGCTGCAATGTGCACAGTGCTACTAAATCATGTGGTCGGTCACAACCCATGATTGGTTGGTACGAAGAGTGAAGCAAGCCACTATTGCAACTACGAAACCCAGCTCAAATGCCAATTTTCTTTTACATTCGTGCCTAACAGCTCGTGATCCTCGTAGGATCAAAATAACCGGTTGGACAATGACTAGCAGTCTACCTACTTTAGGTGACTTGCAGAACCTTTGAATATACAACCTACCCAAACAACCATTGCACAATTCTGAATGGAGTTTTCACACCGCCAGGCGGGCATCATCAAGCCTAGCCATTGTAAAAGCCACTCTTGAAGAAAGACTAAGAAAAACACATTAAGGTGCAATCCCCATTTCCTAGCTAAGGAAATTCATTATCATTTATGCCTTCTATTAAACACACTCACTTCGTAGAGAGATTTGTTTGCTATCTCGTGGAATCTCATGGCTTGTATGGATGCTGGTCATGCGGGGATGGCGATCGATATGGGTTGTTGGAGCCGGTGTTAGGACTCTGCGGCAAGCGAGGAGCCTGGACCGGACGCTGCATCGAATAGGCGAAGGCGTTGCCCTCCGGTGGTTGAGATCCTACGGGTCGGCTCTGGGAGCGTGGTGGAGGGGGCATTGGCTGCGATGGCTGCATTTGCTGCATCCGTTGATACTCAAACTCTTCGACGTGCCCGGTCGAGACAGAACTTGGGGAAGCTGGCTGGGTGCGCTGTTGCGGAGGTTGGGCATAGTTCTGTCCAGAGGTGCCTGTGTGTGGTGACGGAACTACTGGGATTGGAAGGGGAGGCATGCCTTGGCGGGGTTGGTCGAGGGTAGGGCCTTGCTTGCGTTTTCCCCTGTTGCTCTCCTTGTGCAATAGTCCACGGACTTCGTCGAGATCAGGACGGGCATCGGTGCTGGGACGGCCGAGAGTGCTGACATCATCACGATTGTTCCAGGTATCATCGCGGACGGGGTCCGCGCCTGGCTTGCGATTATTTATCTGGTGAATAGCTTGGCCCTCTGTATTGCCAACGCCCAGGTAGTCTGTGCTGGACGACTTGCTATTGTCCTCCTCTCTGGGATTAGGTTTCGCGGTAGGGTAAAGTCGCTTGGCGTCCTTGTCCTGGTTGTACTTGTCCCGAGCCGCGATAGCATCTGCGGGAGAAATGGCAACGGACCATGACGGCTTGCCAGCATCGCCCAGAGCAGCGTCTCCGCCACCTGGACCATAGATTGGAATCTTCCGGAGAGCCAAAACGAGAGCACACATGAATTTGGAGCGGCGAGATGCGCGAAGAGCTTCATTTGACCAATTGCTCTTGTGTCGGATTTCGCATCGAAGCTCGAGCTTATTCATCTCGGCAATGCTGACAACCTCAAGCTCCATATCAGAGTGGAAGTCGCGGCTGTTCGCAGGATCCCGAACAAAGGCTTGCATCTCCTGCTTGAGAACATTTACATCCTCAAAAGTTGTGTCAAAGTTGACAAATATGGAGACTTGTTCTCTCATGGCCTTGCTACGGGTGATATTCTCGACCCACAGGTTGTTGAGAACGATATTGGGGATCTGTACCATCTTGCCATTCTGCACTCGCTTGAAGACAGTGTACAAAAGGGAGATGTGCTCGACAGTAAGTTGATCGGTGGCCAAGTCCACACGGTCACCAATGTCGTAGGGGTGCTTGACGAAGAGGAAAATGCAGGATCCGAGCACCTCCTGGCAGGTTGCAGCGAATACGAACGAGAGAGAGAGCAATGCAGTAGCAGATGTGGTGAGTGTCCCAACAAAACTTGGGCTGAGGAAGGCAACTACGGAGGGTTAGTCCACATGTATCTCTTACGACATATCTTAGTACTTACTGAAGACGAAGATGCAGACAATGAACACGATAGTGAATAAAAGCCCATCGAGGGCATTGATGGCTTGATCAACATCGTGCATGCTAGAGGCGATCGATTTGCGCTCCCGTCCATATTCAGTGACGGTAAGGATCATTTCTTCAAGACTGATGTCTCCATTCCCATCCCGATCAAGAGCAGAAAAGCATTCTTCAGCCTCATGTTGACGGCCAGCTCCCAAGACTTCCATCAAATCTTCCTGGTACAGGGAGTCCTTGCCCTCGGCAACAAAGGACATCCAAATCCGCCTTGCTAAGGCCTCGGCAGACCGGTTCTTGTCTAGTGCCTCGAGGACAATTGAGTGGGCCGAGTTCGGGTCCAAAATCTTCTTGCCGGTGATTTCCTGGGCGACGGTACCGAACACTACAGCAAGTTAGAATATTCTGTACCTATGATAATATAAAGTAACTTACCAGAGGTAACTTTGTCTCCAAATCTTCCCACATCCTGAAGCAGCCTCATTGGAGTGCCTGAATTGGAACGACCGCGGGTGCCAAATGTAGTTTTCTTACTTCCCAAGGTAAGCTGAAGAGAGTCCTGGATAATGTAGTCCTCCTCCGCGAACTCGTTGCAATAAGCGGGGAACAATTGTCTGGAAGCGTCGTAAAGCTGTCCCAAGAGATAGATATTACGTTTTGAATCTTTGATCTTTGCATCGAATTGCTTCCGGTGATAGCTTATGCTGATCAGCTGGATCAAGATGCGCTCCCCAAGAACAATGCAGGATGAAATCAATGCAGCTCGGAGAACGCTAATCATGGTATCTCGCCAACTGCGAGGGGTTTTAACGAGCTACATCCAGCGTCAGCATACAATTTCGCACATGGGCATATGACATACTGTTGGAAACGTGACCTGTGTAACGATCATCCAGAAGACGATGGAGAGCGGCTTTTCTATAGCCCTCAACAGCAATGCATATTTGCGCACGCCGGGGCTTACAACACCAATGAGGAATTCGAAAATATTGGGAAGGAAGTGGGCGACAACTTTGCAAGCCCACAAGCTCAGCCAGACTATACAGGTGAGTTAGCCTACGAGGTTAAAATATTTCAGCTATGAATACCTACCAATCTCAATCCAGATCCAGAACAGCTTCTCATCCGCTCCGCCAATGGTGTGCTTTGGAGATCCAGTCTTCGAGTCCTTCTGATTGAGGACTGTCTCGGAGAGGATGATGGGAATGGCTAATATGATGGCTAGGGGGGCGACATAAATCATGTAACGAGTGACAATACTGAAATTCAGAATCTTGGTGTAGAATTTGCCCATCCGGTTGACGGCTGGCTTTTCAGGGTCTCCATCATCGCCAGGACGAGGAGCCCCGGACTTAGAATCGATTTTCTGAACCTTTCTCCTGCCCGCATGTCGGTGGAACAGGCCGCTCTTCTCCGTGTGCTCCTCGTGTGCGGCCGGGGAGTGCGAGGGCGTGTGGCTGACCACCGTCTGGAGGGGTATGTTTTCGGGATTCCCCATGTTGTCTCCCGTTTCGTTACTGTTGGTATTCAATGGCTGAAAGCCCTGGCGAGAGAGTCGAAAGGATGGAGATTTTTGGGGGTTGTTCGGCATAGGGTCAGCCAGGGACGTGTCGTCACGATTGCCGAACTCGGTACAGGCAAGGAGTGTCGTGACCCGAGACGAAGGGGGAGGGGGAGGAGGGTGAAGGAACGCGAGAGCGGGTTGGGGAATGTGCTTCGAGCACCAAAGTGAGGGTGGTGTTTCTTCGTAAACCAAGAGAAGAGATGGATAATAACGACAGCAATTGAACGAAGGCCTGCCGACGGTTCGAAAATGAATCAGTGAATAACTCGCAGGAAAAGAGGGCGAAGAACTCCCCCAGAAAACAACGCGGTGAGAAAATGGCCGCGTTGAGGCTTACGTAGGGGAAAGAATTCAGGGAGCGAGCTGCTCTTTGAAGGTTTGCGAGGGGCCTGAGGCAAGCGAAAGCAACGCTATCCCGGACTTCTGCAGGAACCGCGCCACCAAAGCTATTTTGAAACCACTAGCGGACCGAGCGACAAATCACCGCCAGCCCTGCGTCGTACCGGCCTTCGCCGCCAACCTCCACACATATCTGTTGAGCGGTGACAAGATGACAATCACTACGCCGCCGCAAATCTGTTCACTCAACCGCCCACAAGCGTGTCACCAGGAAGCCAATGTTGCAATCCTCTCCACGAAAGCGCCATCCTTCTGGAGGGATCCGCTTCCAGACGTGTCCCTCCATTGCACCCCTGAGTTGGTGAAGATCTTGAATACCTCCTTGCCAAGGTTTCCCTTTTCCCCTTATCGATACGTGCTGACAAGGTCGAAATTTCGGTTTCTCCAACGCACCCTAGCGTTCGACATGTGTCATCCTGGCAAGCCTTGCTGCTATCTTTTTGCTTCTGCTGAACCAGAGTTCGCGTGTTGCACTCCCGCATGCATCTACGAGCGTTTCACAGCACCTGTCGCAGAATTTGAGATCGATTGCTTGTAGGCCCATTGGTGTGTCCGTGAAACACGGCCGTCTCGAGACGCAGTGTTTCTTATCAAGCAGCTTCAAGACTACAAACCGGACTGGCCGGTGTGTGCAGTGTCTGGGGAGGGAGGCCTGAATCGCCCATCATTTCTTCTCTTCTCTGAGAGGCCCCGCCCGCTCGGTGCCACATCCCACCCTTGAAGGACATGGATCACGTGAATACGCACGAGTCTGGATTAGTATTAGCGCATCTAAGAGCAAGAAAGCAACACCAGGTATCAAAAGTCTATTTCTAGGTCAAATGTCCTGTTTTTGGTCAAAGAAAGCCTTTGCTCTACCCCATTGCCCTCCCAGCCATCAGAATCCATTCTTGTCCACCTTCACGCCTCCCCCCAATCCAGTCTTTCCTCTTCGGACTGGCCTTGTCGAAGAGCAGTCATCGAATGCGCTTAGTATCGGGTGCATTTCGTGCGCCTGTGGCTGATTGGTCGATGTTGGTCTGATTCTCCATGGGCCTAATATGATTCTTTTCATCCTGAGAGCGAGAGACGCGAGATGAGGCCTTCTTCGTTTCAAGAAAAGGAGATGGAGACCGGAATGTAAATAGTTATGTACCCCATGATCCTACACTGAAAGAGCAATCAGCATGTTGTCAAAAGGGTCCTTGAGCACGTAGAAATCGCGGTAGCGGATCAGACCTCTTCCAACATCAGAAATGCCTCGCGCACTCTTCGCAGCCACCCTTCAGACGCGCCATATGCTGGATCCATCAAATAGTTGTGCTCGCTGCCTGGAACAACTTCGCTCCTGTATTCGAAGCCTGTGGAGTTCTCGTTTCTGGCAGATCCGGTCCTGGCACCGCTCAGGTTGGATGACGATGATCCGCTAGGAGTCCAGCAGCTATCGAACCACGTTCGTCCCTTCTCTCCCACCATATCGTCCGTTTCCCCATGGAATGATTCAATTATCCATTTTCGGGGGTTGTTACTAGCTCCCTTCTCTTCTTCGATTATTTTTGAGAGCAAAGCCACAGCATAGTCGACGTCTGACCAGAAGACACTCGGTGAACACCATGTAGTGGACGACGGTCTCTTGAGAAACAATTTTGCATCCGCTGAAATTCCATCTGTAGATTCCGCGAAAAGATATGAGATGATTAGCTGTCGGAGCTCCTCGACAACTGCAGGACTGTCAAAGTTCAGTTCAGCTGGACTTTGGCTCGAAGTCCGCGACGCAGTTGGAGACAAGGAGCTCGGGTCCAGCGGGATTGGAGCCGGAGTAGAGTTTGACCGCAAGAATGAGTCTTTGATTCCATGAAGAAAGCTACTGCTCAATCCAGCTAGTGGCATGACGTTTTTGTTCACAAATCGAGCCACGGACATAAAGCGGCCGATAAGTGGAGCCGGGAGAAGCTCGGCCGCTCTCATGTGCGTTACTCCAGAGTGAGATGGGTGCACCCAAGGCGCGAAGAAGGTGACGTACGGATTCGTAGGATGGAGCAGGTGAGGATACGTGAGCATCGTGTTCAAGGCGTAGATCATGCCACCACTGTGGCTTGTGATGGAGACATGGGAGATCTTCAGGTGAGAGAGAAGATGAGGGATCATTTCTGTAGTAGAGTGAGCTTTGGTTCAGAGTGGTAATCCTGCGAATGAACGAACCGAGCCACATGGGTATTCTCTCGCTCTGCTCGACTGGATCACTCCCGCCTATACCAGGCCTATCTGGGTGTATAATTCTCACTCCATGTGCCTTTGCCAACTGGTCGAGAGGCGAATAGCACAGCCGCATCCCCATCAATGCCCCGCAAAATAGTACAACAGCATCGCTGTTGGAGTCACCGAAGTCGGCGTAGGATAGGCGATACTTTGGCCTCCCAGTTTCTGGATTAGGTGGGAGTATGAGAGTTCGATGAAATCGGATATCGCAGAGAAACTCGATTGCTCCCATTTGCAAGGATTGTAGTGGCACACATGCAGTTGAGAGTTGCGCTGAGGTGTTTTAGGGGAAAGTTAGGTATAAGTAGTGTTGATGAGTAGATAAGAAGCAAGGGAACACAGAATCAGGTCCACGTGGTGTGTCGCCCGGAGATAGAACTAAAGGAAGCTCGTTGAATATTGGAGGAAGCTACGATGCATAAAGAGATTCACGCCCCAGGGCGCATACCTAGGCAACGTGCTTCAGCATGTAAAAGGCGATGTGAATGAAATTGACGAGAGCGTTGGTTCAAAATATGAAAGCTTTTAGGCAACACCAAGGTTATGAGGGACTACAGTAAGTTGATTGCTAAAAGAGCGGATCTAGAAGTATTTTTGCTCAAGGGAGTGGACTAGGCAGCAGCGGTTAATGAATAGAAGTAACGTGCTCTGCCAGTCATCCGCCTACGCCTTATCTCACGATCAATGCCCTCAGGATGATCCACCGTGCGTCGGCAATAGGTAGTCCCGGTTGCCGTGAGGCTTTGCGCCGCGCTGCGCCACGCTCGACGACTCTCTCCAGAGGTCACTAACGGGTGCTGTCTACTGGGTCTTGGTCACCTAAGTCCTCGCATCGTGCATACATCTACTCTGTTTTCCGTCCTAAAGCGCTCCATTGCCGACCTACTCACCCTAAATTCCCACCGACGGAGATCCCAGTGAGCCCCCGAGGCTGACCTCGATATCCAGATATACCGTCTATCTATTTTCTATAAGCCCATATGATTATTACAGTATATAGTGGGAAAATAAAGACCTTAATGCATTCGTATGCGGCTTACTCTTTGCATCTTACAAGACTCTTTATAGAAAGACACTCTCCTTACTATCTTAGTATCATGTCCCGAGATTCCAGTGACCGTACACATCCTTAAAAACCGACCCCTTCTAACCTAGTATCTCGTACCAAGGTCAGAAATTTAACACTATACAAAATTAATTTATAAGTGAAAAAGGACAATTAAGAAGATGCGGAAATAGCTAGCTAGGTCATAGAAATACTTACTATCTGCAAGCCATGGGTAACTGTCCGTATTGGTCCTGGCTCTTGTCGCACCGCCTCCTTGGGTCAAGTTACGCCTGGCAAGCTGGTGTACAAGGCTGGGTCCGTATTCCCACGTACCAACGCCACTCGGATCCACCAGCTCATCTTTAACTATAGCAAACGTTAGTAAATGAGGAGCTCTCGTTGTTCATTGTTGAAAAGGAGACCAGAGGCAAGCCTCTGGTCTTAGGGAATTGGTGAAAGAGATATAGAGCGAACTTACTATACGGCTAGCCGAAAGGGTCGAGATGCAATTCGTATTATCCACAACCCTGCTGAATACACCTCTTTGACTCTTTCCATCACTCTACGTTGCTACCTCTGTTCCCCCATCTCAATTCATTAAACTAACATTTAAGAGCAAAACTGACTTCTGTAGTCGCTGACGCCCTATATTTGGTCAATAACGATGTAAACAACATTGTAGAATATGAAAAAGCTGCTCAAGAGGTTCTTGAACTGACTGCTGGAGAGCCGGGTCGAGCAAGTCGAGTCAGTAGACGTCACGGAGATAATCGAGCGAGTCAAGCTTGCCAGATTACTGTCACCTCTTGCACTACTCTTACCGCTACTCGGGGAGTTTACACCATAAATTGCATGCAGGTAGTCCACACGACACTGCATGGAGTAGTCGCAGCATACCCACCTATACAACAAATAGAAACCTGTAACGTAGAGCGTGGTTTAGCCCTGGTAAATAGGAACGGCAAAGTAATTATTCGGGATGTTGTTTTGTGTTCAGACGCAAATGTATCCGAAGTTTGTTAAAGAGGAGGAGTTAACTTGTTGGTCGATGCAAGATTGGTATTTAGGAGGAAATCTAGCGAAGTAGGGGTTGGTGGCTGTTGCGAGCCCGACTCTATGCAGAGGCTACGGAGGAGCGTAAAGGGGGTTGAAGATGCATGATTTGGAAGAGAGCTAAGAGGGGCGCTAGAAATAATGCGTAACAGTGTCTAGCAAAAGTAATACTAATTTGGACTTGCTAATTCTTGAAGGTCGACTTGGGGCCGTGCTAGCTTCGAAAGAGGGGGCATTAATAATGGTAAATGAAGAATCATTTCTAGACACGATAAGCAACGAAGGGAGTGAATATTTCTGCCCAGCGTGGCCATTATAGCTACTCACTAATTTCGAGGAGTCCACTTGCTTTAGAAAAGCTAAGTTGTGGTGCTGTGGTATCAGAAGCTATTTATACCACTAGACGCCTCAACAGCCGCTTTATTGAATGCTGGCTCATCGGAAGAAAGGTGATGGTATTTGCCTAAGCTCAGAAGACTATAATTTTTAGATCTCCAAATGTACTCCAAATGTACTAATGGCTTGGAGAGAGCTCCTTACACTGCAGGTGGTTCTATGTTGCATGGTACTTTCTAACATGTTTGGGGTGCCGCCAAGCCGACGAGAGCATTGGCACAAACAACCTAGCAATCCTATACGCTCAAACTCCGTATCTCGTTACCTGAGCGTGACTATTCGTCACTGAAGAGGTTGTATGAAGGTCGAGCTAGGCGAACTGAGGAATTGGGCGCATTCAAACTAACACTATCGTAGCAAGCTCCGCTTCGCCGTTCATCCAATCACACACTCCCAAAACTTCGTTATCCATGATCATCTTACCAACCCGCCGATACTGATCTGGCTTTCCCTCTGTCGGAGTAATAATGAGCGCTTGATAACTAGGATTCTCTTTATCCCCCCGTGTTAGGATAAGAGCACAGAGAGGCATCTGCGCAGCCGTCTCATCATCCAAAGTATCGAACATACAATATGTGCCATATGGCTTTCCGGCTCTTGTCTTCATCCTCAAAGCTCTTTCATGAGGAACTGTCTCCCAATCGACTTCCTTCTCTTGGCTGGGAGAAAGTGGTTCAATCGGAGCCCTGATCTTAATCCAGCCAGACTTGACCTCTCCATAGGGATTTTTGCCCTTCAGCTCCACTTGGCAATCGAGAATAGTAGATATATCGATCCAACTTGATCGATCGAATGGTTCATTACTAACAAGTCCTATATTTGCGAACGGGCCATCGATAGAAGCCCAGGACCAAGAGGGGGCTCGATACTGCAGCGGCGCACTAGTCGCTCTTCGACGCGTCCCTAAGGCCTGCCATAGCAGACCCTCAACAAGTGTCGAGCGCCACAGGCCTGCGACGTATTTATCACCCGTTTTCTCCTCGAAAGTTTGAGCAATACCGGAGAGTGCTGGAAGCTTATCCGACTCTTTTGTTAATTTTCTTGAATAGTACTTGGACAAGATTGAGTACCATAGCCATGGTCCTCGAAAGTTGCTATTCTGTAACAACTCTGAACCGGATCCGTCGGCCTTGACTTGGCTAGGGTGGGAGTCTTCATGGACGCTGTTAAAACGGCCCTGTATGCGGAAGCCATCCTCACTCAGAAAATGACTGTAGCACTCAAAGTAGAGTTGTTTTGCTCCAACATGCAATACACGAGACGCCAGGAAGCGTTCTTGTAAAGTCCACCCACGACTGGACAAGGGCTCTTTATCTTGCTCACAAATGGTTCCTGGCCAAGCAGCTTCTTCCAGGGGGATGAGAAATGCATACACTTTGCCAGACAAGCCATTGTTTCTCGTGTACTCAAATGATACGTAGTTGGGGCGAGAACGTTGGCTGAATAAACCTTCGGAATCATCCTTTGCCGCGCTCGCAGCAATTGTGATATACGCGTTTGCGTAGATCGAAGCCATCTTTGCTGACTCTCGTTCCCAGTCAGGACCATCGTCTTGACAAATACTGCAAGAGTGTTAGCACTGAGGTCTAATAGGAGCAACAGTATTTACCACAGAGAGTCAATCCAAAGGTATTGTATACCTAGCTTTCGAGTGAGGAACACAGCATCTTGAAATGTTCTGGGAAGGACATCCAAAGTGATTCCTTTCTTCAAACCTGGAATATTTGCTTGTGTCGTCGTGAAGTGACGGTGATTACCCCAGACGTGGCTCAGTGCTGTGTACTTTCCCAACGCCCCATTTGTTTCATACAGTCTGATCCTACTCCGTGCAGTGTCACACTCAAGATCAAGAACCCGCAATGGTAGCTTCTTGACGTCTGCTACACTAGAACATCTTGTTGTGGTATGTTCGTTATTACATTCGTGGACCCAATTTAGTGTTCTATGTAGTGTGAGTATCGACAATGGGTCTTCGTCAATAACGCGACCCTTTAGGTAGACACTCAATGGGTCCGCGTCTGTAATATGAATCAGTTTTTGTATTTAATGCCTGGATAAGAAATCGGTACCTTCGACACAAAAGCCAACCGCAGCCAAGAGACACACATAAACTGGGTTTCTGGAAGAGACAACCATGAACCCATCGCACTTGTCCCGTCGCCTTGTCAGCCAAAGCCGAAAGTCCGGTAGCCTCTCCTGCTTGTTGTAATACACAAAAACCTCGTCTTGCTCGGCTTCAGCAATTGCGGTTAAAGTTTGACGGACAGCTCGTTCAATGATGGAGCAGATTGGGCAATCATCGGCTGCATTTTTCAGTTCGTCAATAGATTGGTGGTGTGGGATGCCCAATGGTTGGCTAAATTCCCCCGCATTTTCACTTTCGTCAGCCTTACGAGCGTTGTTCAGCCGCAAACTCATGAATGAGAGCAAGCCATCCCAAGGCTTCGTGTAGCCTTCATAATGAGAGGGCAGCGAAGGAAGATGTTCGAAGTCAATGGTCTGACAGAGAGTGCATAGTCCCATCGCGATAGGGAAATCAGGTGAGACCGTCAAAAATGAGCGGTTACGGAAACACGGCAAGAACAGGAAGGATATGGCATAGACACAATATAATAGGGCAAGAGGGAATTCACGGAGTGGCGTTTGCGGTGGAATAATTTCAAATATCGCTACCTGCTGGAAGCAGAAAGCGGTGTCTTGGGAGGAAGACGCGCTCAGGGAATGATGTTGGAGCTAAGCTTAATCTGGATAGATCCACTTGAGGACGTGGATTATGTAACACCTCAGAATCCCTAAGGATACGTCTTCCGCAACCACGGGCGAACCCCATTCTTCACTCACCTTCCTTGAGTACCTACGCCATGGCACGCTTCCAGGGGTATGCGTTCCTGCGGACCGGACCTAGCCCCACATCTGAGCTCATCTGACTTAAGCTCGTTCCTGAAAATACCAGGGTACATTTCACACAGATTAACCTTATATTGCAACCAACGGGCTTCCACCTTTGTCCGTCCCCAGATTATACCAGTAGATCAATTATAGAGTGCTTCTTGAGATGAATCTCGCGCCGACGTACGAGATAGTCCATTCTTGGGGAATGTATAAGTATGCCAGGTTTCTTTGTTGATCAAGCTTTCTATGCTCTCTTGTTCCCGGTAGTCCTGCGAGAAGAATTGAAGATGAAATACCACTCCTTCTTGTTCGCAGCTTCTGCTGCTGCGGTGGCGGTGCACCACGGCAAAGTTCCACCACCAGACGCTGACGGTAGATATACGTTAGAAGCTCCGGGCATTCGAGCACAGGTACGGAAAATCTTTTTATTACCTATTTCGGCTCTTTCTGGTGGGTCGTTTAACATCAAGGCACCCCTCACTGCAGAGAACACCAGAGTTTCTAGTCTACCAACACATTTACACTCTTATCCCTCAATTGTTGGATGCTACAGCTAACCAACAATTATATAGTTCATTCCCTACGCCGCGACCCTGACGAATCTGTTTGTCAAAGGTAAGGAAAGGCCATATCTCGTGAACGCCATAAACTAACTCAACCTCAGACAAGAACGGTGTAGAACGGGACATTGTCCTTGGTTATGACAACACATCCTTCTACCGTATGTACCGTAGAACATCTCTAGCAATTACAACGCTTTCTAACAGAACTGCAGCGGTGGATCCAGGACACCCTGTCTACAATGCCATCCCCGGGCGATACGCTAACCGCATCGGTAATGGAAAGTTCAAGATTGACAATGTCACCTACACTACTGTGCAAAACGATGGCCCCAACACTCTGCACAGTGGACCGAATAATTGGTCATTCCGCACCTGGAATGTAACTGAGGTCACGAAAGATTCAATCTCATTCTCTATCTACGATCCGGCAAACTCTACCGGCATGCCGGGCCATGTGGAGGCGAACGTCACATATTCTCTGCAGAAGAACAAGTGGAAGATCACGATGGACGCCATTTCGCCAGATACCAAGACCCCTATCATGCTGACACAGCATACCTACTTCCAACTCGACGCGTTCGCAAATCCAACCAACCGTACCATCTGGAACCACACTCTCTCGATGCCGTATGCGCACCGCGTGATGAAGATCGACGGGAACGCCTTGCCTACGGGAGAAATAGCAAATGTTTCCAAGAGCGACATTGACGACTTCTGGTCTGCTCCTCGCCAGCTTGGCTTTGCATCCGGAAACAAGGAGTTTCAGGGCCACTGCGGTGGTGGCGGGGCCTGCCACGGATACAATACAAACTGGGCGTTCGATGACAAGAGACCGGGTGATGCTGTCGTTGCTACTTTGAGCAGCGCGTGGAGTGGTATTAAGGCGGATCTTCGCACGAACCAGGATGCGATTGTGCTTTACACTTGCAACTGGAACGACGGCAAGACCGAGTTCAAGAGCACTCAGGGTGTCAAGGGTCAGGATAAGTTCATCCCGAGAGATGGATGCATCGCGATTGAGGCGCAGGACTACGTTGATGGAATCAACCAGTATGTCACCCTGAAGGCAATCTAGAGACTGATGCTGACTTCAACAACTAGTCCGGAATGGGGCCGCCTGGGTAAGCAGCTCTTCGGACCTGGACAGAAGTACCACTGGGAATCATCTTGGACCTTTGGCGTGGTTGAAGATGCTTAGGTAAGACCAAGAAGCGGGGAAGGAGCTGTGACTGTACATGGAAGCTTTACGAGTGGAAGAAATACAGGCAGCGATGGTCTAAATATTGTATAGTATGCCCGCCATCGTCAAAAATGACCTCTCACTCTACAAGAGCGGCCCTAGCCGCAGTTCTTGTGAAGTTAGTATTTTGCACAGTATTTCGACTACCTGAGGAGATCGTAGGAGTGCAGGGAACAGTGCTGATAGCTCCTGTCGTAAATCAAGGAGCTACAGTATGGTATCCCACACCATGGAACGGAAACAGAGCGGACTTGATCTTTCAACCCTCATGCTACAATCAAGAGGACAGCATAATGATGCCAAATTCTGATAGCGACCAAATATTTAGCAAGTTCCGGGAATGGCCGCCGAAGGGTTGTTATCGATAGCGTTTGGAGGCGCGAATTCGAACGACTTTTGATATGTTTGCCAGAGTAGAGGCGATGCGACATATAGAACAGAGCAGAGACGTAATTTTCCTAGATGACTCGTCTATCTAAATAACGTCCCTCACTGCGTCGCAAGACACACAGTGTAGCGAGACACTACTATAATAAAGACGCCGAAAGTCCTCCTCTCGCTAAGAAATAAAGCTATGTAAAATAGAATACTATCCTATGACTCTTTCTCTTTTAGGATACTAGCCCGTGACGACGAATATCGCAGTGTTGGTAACGCTGTTGATTATTTTAATGGCGCCATCAAATGCCACTTTAGCTTCCCGCCCTAGTCTGTCTGTAACTAACAAGTTTTATCTAGGTCTTAGAGGGCTAGGATTAAAGCCTTGTTAAAGAATCTTATATCAACAGTGATTAAATGGAATCCTAAGCTAAATGCAGGCATTCCGGGAGTTTCTCCGTGCAACGAATCCGACATTGAAAGCCTTTGACGGAGCGGAATGTTTCAGCGTATTCTATCGTGCATTAGCTTGTACTAGTGCGCTGAGATAATCAAGTATCGGACTGTTCTATGTCCCACGTCCCTAAATTTAGCTGTGGCGGCGTTCACGTCCCCAGTTTATTTGTGTCAACGTGTTCTTTCTTTCCGGCACTGCCTGGTACTGTCTGAAGGTACAATATGCGTGCTGCCTCAATCATCTATTCCTATAATCACCAACATCACCAATCATGGACAAGGCTAGTTGAGTATTGGCACAGGGCGTCCCCCTAGCTGTCCCGCTATCATACTGTGCTCTTGCAGGTCATGGAGATGTGCGCGCGGCCAACAATCAATCGAAGAAAAGTCTCAGAGCCAGCAGTACCTGTCGCACGTGTCTCACGCGAGACCATATCCATGTATTGCGCTATTCACTCATTAGGACTAGCCCCTTTCTCGTACAGTATATAGTCAGCCCAGAGCACTCTCGAGCTCCTTAGACCTTACAATACACTGGTACAATTCACCTTGTTTGGATCTCAATACCTTGTCGACTCGCCTACCCTATGACCCCTTCTCAGCTCATGCGAGAGTACCTCACCCTGTGGGAATAGGATGCCCTTATTAAGTTCCTCTTACAAATGTCTAATCTTGGATATCCTGTGCGAATAAAGTTTATTCTGTCACTAGCCCACAGGATTACCCTCCAGCGGCCTTGATCAGCCAGACCACAGAAGCCGCCACATGAGAACTAGACGAGTGCTTTTAGGAAGCGCCATCCAGTAGTCCAGGCACAAAGGGCCAAAGCGCTAGACTGGAATTATCACGAGAAAAACACGTATACAAAGATTACACACTGATTTAAGGTCTTTAGAAGGGTATTGCAAGACCTAGTTAATCTACTAGAGAATGTCTACAACATGGACAAGACTGGAGTCGTGCTATCTATGCCAGGCTCTGTTAAAATCCTCGTGGCTAAGACTGACCTGTGAAATTACAGGGCGGCGCGTGTTAAGCGCACGAAAGTAACTGCAATTAAGTGTATTAGTGCTGATGGTAGGTATCTAAATCCTACAGTCATTGGCCAGCTACTACCTATTGAAGTAACTGGACTACTTTCCATACCTCTAGATAGCAGTATGCCTGCTCTAAATCTAGGTATACTAATTCCTACATTAGCCTACAATGGCTAAAGCGTATATTTAATCCTAAAACTAAGGAACAAGCTAATTAAAAGCCCTAGCTGCTAATCTGTAATAAGTTTAGGATCTATGAAACCCTTAAAATCCATAAATATTGTTTTAAGAACAATATTATCTATGCTGCTTTCCCTCTTATACTTCTTACAAGCTTCAGCCATGCGACGTCGCTGTATTCGCCCCCCTCAAGGCAGCCTATTGTGAAGAGGTTAAATGAGTAGAGCGAGGAGGCGTGAATGCAATAGGCAAAGAGCATTTTACTGTCGTGTATAGTCCTGCGAGGAGAAAAGCATTTACGCTAGAGAATCTTAAGGCTAGATTTGCTGCAAGTAGTTTGTTCTTAGTAAACTTAGATAGATTGCTCTAAAGCGTGCTAAAGCCCCCTGCTGAACTAACGATTCTAAAAGCCAGCGAGAGGTGGCGCCTGGCCCTCAAGACACCGTACTGCAAACGCCTGTCTCACTAGTCACTACAGAAGGTCTAATATTGCTACAAAATCTAATAACTAACCAGAATGCTCACACCCCTTGACGAAAGATCTAAATGTAGCCTGCAGAGGCAATTACAGAAGTTTGCTAAAGCTGCTTACTTAGCCTTTTCTAAGGGGTCCTCTAGCAAGACTAAATTTAATTCTTAATAAAGATTAACAATAAAGCTAAAGTTTAACAGTCTACAAGAGCAGTGGTCCAGGGATAGCAAAGGATATAAGCTATTAAGACCTTAAAGTAGCACAAGCTTAACACGCTGAAAAGAGGCTGCTAAAGAAGCTAAGCTAGCTAAAAAAAAAAAAAAAAGGGCTAATAAAGAAGCTAAGTGTAAGTGGAAGCGTAGGTGAAAGTGCAAGAGACCTTCGCTAAAAACAGCAGAAGCCAACACGAACAAACGAAAACGCGGACGAAAACGCAAGGGTGCTACGCTGGGCGCTGAAGATCCAAAGGCCAAGGCGGCAAGGCAGAACGAAACACAAGATACAGGGGATGGGCCTGCAGCAGAATCATGGAGAGCTCTAGTGGCGCATATGTATGGACAGTAGATAGACGGAGGTAGTCTTAGTCGGAATATATAGCTGAATAGTAATGAGACTTCTTGATGCCAGGAGTGGATGCGGTCGCCTGCCGCTGCGCTTCCTACTTGTGATAACTGCCTACTTCCATATGGCGCAGTAGCTATGCCTGTCGTCATTGTATCTAGCAGATGTCGAATGGGGGGATCAGAACCCCGACGATAAAGGGAGAGTGGTGACAAGCCGGGGGACGAACGTAACGTGGCGGCTGGGGACATGACGTGGGTACGGACTGGGCACTGCTGGCAGATCGTAGCACGTGTTCGAGTCGTTGGCTGGTGTCAGATATATGCGTCGTGGAGATGTCACTAGGTGTCTCTGTGCACAGCGTCTTTATATGTAACGTCCCTTCATGCGTGCCGGAAAACCACCTGCGCCGGAAAATATGAGGGGTACTTTGTCTTTAAGTGACTATAAGTCTGTACACATGTGAAGCTTTGCTAGAATTTTGTATAAATAGTGTGCTGTAGCTACTTTTAAACATTAAGGACCTTTCTAGCCTATAAATTACATTTGCATTGTCGCCCTTCTTGCCTAATTTGCTTAGAGCCTTCTATGGCAAGCGGGCCGACCTCTGCCCCGCGGCCTTGCGATCCAACTCACCCTTGGCCAAGCTTTCAGTCAACTCCCTGAGAACACTGTCGCACGTGTCTCACGCGATATCATACCCATGTACTGCACTATTCACTCATTAGGCATAGCTCCTTTCTCGTACAGTATATAGTCAGCCCAGAGCTCTATTAAGCTCCTTATACCTTACAATACACTTGTGCAATTTACTTTGTTTAGATCTTAGTATCTTGTTAACTTACTTACTATATAGCCTCTTCTTAGCTCATGCAAGAGTTATAAGCCTAGGGTTGCGCTTCTAATTAGTACTATAGTCACTACTGTATATTTAGCTTTTGCATCTAGCTTAAGAGGCTCTGTAAACCTTAACACATATTAATTACAAATTGCTTACTAGCTAAGCTTAATTAACTAGATAATAACCTTCTGTTTATTTTAAACATACTAATTATAAATTGCTTACTAGCTAAGCTTAATTAACTAAATAATAACCTCTTTATCTACTCTAAGTAGAGTTTAAGCTAAACTAAAACTGCTTATTAATAAGAAACCTGCTTAATTTATATAAGCAACTCTGTGACAACGCGTACCGCGTCACATGCTCTGCGACTTAAGCTCCCTCGCTTGCGCAACAAGTAGCGCCTTGGCAGGGGGCACACATGTATATTTAAACTCGCAGAGCAGCTCCTTTGCTTCTTAGTTTAATCTAGTTAGGTTACACTACCTCTTACTTGTAGCTTAAGCATGCTAATTATAACATTAGATTAGACTTTTTAGGTAACATAAAAGCTTAAGTACATATGCACATGCACACGCTTAAGTTTTTTTAACACACGCTTATACACACGCTTATACACACGCTTATAATTCTAAGTTAATAAACACTAGCATACTCTATTATATTAATAGTAGAGACAGAGTGTTACGGTCTACGGTTGGACCAGCGTAACTCCACCCAGGATGCTCCACAATATGGTACGGTTGGAGCGGGACTCGCTTGCGGACCAAGCGGAGGACGCGGAGGTAGCACGGCTACCCAAGATCATGGAAGAATGCGTTGTCTAATAGGAGGATAGGACATAAATCCTACAAGTCTAGAGGAGCTTAGCAAGCCCTGCTTAGCAGGCTTATGTAGGCTTATCTAGCTCACCTTAGCGTCCTTTGCATATGTATATAGTTTCTATATTAAACACTCTTTTAAAGGTGTGTTTAACATTTAGTTTATTCTTTATATAAACTAAGTAGCATTTAGCTTTCTAAAGAGCTATAAT